CCTCTTGTCCTTACCTTTGTCGACTATGAAAAAGCTTTTGACAGCGTCGAAACGAATGCGGTCCTGTCAGCACTGGTCGATCAAGGAGTGGACCCTCCCTACATAAGAACACTAGCTGACTGCAGCAGTCGTTGTAGCGCGACGGTGAAGCTGTTCCAACGACCTCTCCCCATTCCCATAGGGAAGGGTGTGAGACAAGGCGACACTATTTCGCCGAAGCTATTCACAGCCGCGCTGCAGTGGGTTATGAAGTCGCTCGACTGGGATGAAAAGGGCATTCGTGTGGACGGACGGTTCCTCTCAAATCTACGCTTTGCGGACGACATCGTTCTCTTTTCAAGCAGCATTGCGGAAGCTGAGGCTATGCTCGCTGAGCTTAATAAAGCAGGAAAGAAGGTAGGGCTGCGGATCAACCAAACAAAGACACAGTTCATGAAGAATGCTTGGGCCGACGAAGGTCAAATTAAGATCGATGGTACACCCATCAAGGAGACCTCGTCATACGTTTATCTCGGGCGTTCCATGAATATGGACAACGACATGAGAGAAGAACTGGTAAGACGGCAGAAAGCAGCGTGGGCAGCGCTCGGACCTCTGAAAGAGGTCACCAACCATCTGGCTGACCCGGTACGTCGTGCTAATCTGTTCGATTCCACAGTTCTTCCTGCGCTCTGTTACGGGTCGGAGACTTGGGTGACCAGTGCATCCACGTCAAAGGCTTTGAATACAAGTCACAGAGCGCTCGAGCGATGTCTTTTGAGGTTCAACCGACTCACGCAATACCGAGCCGGACTCCACAGCTCCGATATGCGCAGAATGTCTCGACTCCGCGATCCGGTGGAATACATGAAGAACGCAAAATTTCGGTGGGCTGGTCATATAATGAGAAGAGATGATGACAGATGGACAAGAAGAACAGTCGAGTGGGCTCCCATAGGATCTACACGATCTAAGGGTAGGCCTGCTGCGAGATGGGGGGGATGTGCTTGTCGGTCACGTGAAACAGCTGCGACAGCAGCTGAATGACTCCTCACATCGCCATCTTCGTCGAATCCTAAATCTACCGTGGATGGCGATCGCGAAAGACAGAAGCGAATGGTTTGTTGCTGGTGCTCGCACATGAGTGAAGACGAGCTGTATAAGTATAAGTATAAGTAAAAGCCCAGCAGAGATGGGCTCGTGCGAAGCGGCGAGCCATCACATCTAGGTATCGTGGATCACAACCAGGACCAGGACAGACACTCGTTTGGGATAAGTAGGCATTCCATTTCTGCGGTGTGGACTATTAAAAACACTCCCTCAAGGACTGACGTATAACATGAACATCTGCTGACTCCTCTTGTCTTTGTATGGGTTAAATAGATTCTTTCAAACGTCATTAATATTCTGAGTATGATAAGTCAATTGCGTGGGGAGGGAGCTAGATTTTCAAATTTAGACCTTGCTACTTTCAATATTCCACCCTAAGTAGATCAGGTCCCTCTCACTAAGAAAGACTTGAAACCAGGAAGGGAAAGATTGAAATAGACAAACTTAATAATTGGATTAAACTGCACATCAGAATAAGTCCCGATTCCTCTCTGCTCATCCTCTCAAAGACGGAAGGGATACGTACGATTGTGATTACCATTATAACTTCTACAGAGACGCAGGATAATCGCTCGATCTAGGAGAACAAGGAGCAAGATTCACAAGTACATCACTCGGTAAGCTCAGTTATTGCGTCGTTCGGAAAGCATCCACCAAGAGCTCTGTAGTAATCCAGATTTTCTCTGGAGTGCTCTGAACATTCCTATGTAATTGCTGTACATATAAGTACACTAGTCTTTTGTATACGCACAATATGAACAGGTCCTCCTTTTTGCATATTAGACCTTGTGGTGACCAAAATGTCGCCACGTTTCCGACATATCCTTCTACACGACTTAAGTTTAGGTCACCCCGCTGCTGGAGCCTCTGGAATTTGTGTCAAACAGTCCTGCGCACGCCCGTTCCAACGCTCCACTGTCCGGAACAAGGATGTCCAAGATGAACCTCGATCTGGGTCAACCGACTGTGACCTGATGAAATCTTCGGATATGCTATGCGCACTAAGCAAGAACAAAAAAAATGGTAGCTTTTGTGCGTCTTCGCGCATCTCCTTCTGAACACCCTAGTAGTAATTAAACCTCACAAGGTTTGTAAGTTAACGAAACATCGGCACTGGAGCCCGTACTTGTAATGTCTGTAACATCGAGTAATCAAAATATTATCTATTTTGAAGTTTCGCAAGACTACTTTCAACGAAAACAACTTCCACCAGTATCGCTTATTCTCCTGGTATAAAAGTTGAGGTGAAGTAGGTTCGACGTATACTCGTCTTATTATCTCACCATCTGTTATGGCTAAATCATACTACTCTCCCATAAGCTTGCGTACTGGTACTGGTGCTGTAATGGTTTACTCCAGATAAAGTAAGTTATACAGCTGCAACCTCCTGGGCTTTTCAGGTCAGTCCAGTAAGGATATCGAACTTTCCACAAAAGAATCTCTCGTATTGGCTGCAATGTGTGCATTCGCTGCATTCAATCTTCACAATGCGGATATAAAAGTAGGGTACAATGTCCTCTGAGAGTAAGCAGGATCGTTGAAATGATTGGTGTTGATCATGCTGTTGAAATAGGCCTTAAACTTTCAAACTTTTGACTTGCGAGCACTTTAGACAGGTATTCAGATATGCATCTATGTATGCAGCTTAAATCGACGGCTACGTGCTCCCAACGATGGTTTGCTTCCCCAGGAGCTCAAACCTGAGCTACCGAATTCCATGGCTAGATTAAATGAACAATCTTCATGCCCCACTCGTTCTGTGACATTCCGAGAGAAATTAGCACTATGGGCTGTTTCTTTCAACAACTCCGCACTCTTTCTCACCTTTTTTCATACCCTGCTTGCACACCGACTCACTGGCCACAAAACTGATGCTCGTTTCCAGTGGGCTCAACCCATTACAAAGGTCGGGCTTTGCGGCATCAAGCCTGGCGATTTTACGGTACAAGTCGATTACTGAATAGTTGATTCACAGGGCTTGAGTCTGCTGCACTAGTTAGTTGCCTTACTGCATGTCCTGCCGTTTCATTAGAACGTCTGGTAGCAAAGCACTCGACATCAGGCAGGATTCGAGTCCGAGTACGTGCTTTTTTGAGATTTCGGTAGTATGGTGCATAGGACCAATGTGATCGGAAAGATAGTGATTGGAAACCGACCGATACGGGACCTATTCCACACTCCACTACTCTTACATGGAGTGAAAAAATAAGGCTGTTTACGCTGAGCGATACCGTTTTGGGTTACGCCTTGCATTCGACTTCCATTCGGAATCGTAGTGGCGTTTTTGTATACATAAGTGACCTTTACAATGACTTGTGGTAGTCATGACAGTTCTTTTATCCTCACAGACGAGTCTAGTACCGATTGCTCTATCTCTAGGAATGGCAGACCTAGTTGTCCTGCATGAATGTCGATATGAGGTTCGTTTTCCGGACCGTGCGTGTGATACTGCGCCACTTGCCACTACACCACCTCCACATTGTTCTTTTAATAAGGATCAAAATCTGAATTGTGGCTATAACCGACTGGTTATTTTTCATATTCACTTATCAGAGTCAAAAACAGATTACACGATGCCCCGGCTTTGCTAGGTCAGAGTACTGTAATTTTGATGTTCAGACGGTGGTTCACGTCTTCACCCTCGTGCCTGCCATCATATTCACCTTCAGAATTCTTTCTATCAACAACGATCACAGTACCATCAGTGTGGTGAGGACGGAATTCTCTTCATCCGAGAATAAGTTTGATGAGGAATTTTTAACTTTGCAGACAGCCGTGGCCATGTTTTGGATGTACTACGGTATGGGACTGATTTGTGACGTACTTTTTGATGCCGACGAAAGGTTTTTCATTGCTCTAATGAGCTCTACCGGCTGGAAGCGAAATAGTTTCATTTTCAGTTACGCAATTATCCAATTTGTATTGGCTATAGCATTGGGTGTGACAGCATATCGTGGCAGTCCAATACCGCGCGATACAGAAAGCGAATACTTCCGGACTATTCGAACTGGTTCCGAAACTGTATTACAACAGACCCAGTCACCTAAGGTAGGGCCACATACTTCGACTCTGATAGGAATCAACGTGCTTGGGCGCTTTCAGAGTTCAACGACGTGCCGGCCTACCGACGGCGTTGCCACCCAGTTATTGACAATGCAGGACACATATTGTTCGATACGGCATCTTTCATAGTCCACGATTTTGTCGCGGACCCATCTCGCGAGCGACCGGCGACCGGTTGCTCGTAAAATCGTGGACTATGAAAGATGCCTCTAGCTGCTTTCATAGTCCACGACCAGTCGCGCGACTAGTCGTGGACTATGAAAGCAGCCTACCGCTACTGCTCCCGCGACCCCAAACGCAATCTGTCCTGCGTTGTCAACACGTGGTAAGCAACGTCGCGGTCGGTCGGCACGTCGTTGAAGACCGATAGCACCCCTTCAAACCGTCATAATGCCAACAAAAGGCAATGATCAAATTAAGATTCTCCAAATAAATTTATACACTTGGCGCGCCATAAATATGCTGGACCCCAAGGATCGTGTGAATTTCGGAGATTGGCCTGAAGGCATTTAAGACTGGGAATTCATTAGTGTGCAGGTCTAGCTAGGTCCTGGAGCACTAGAAGTGATGCGATGGAAATCCCGAGTTCTATTCTCTGCGCTTCCCTTTACCCTTAGTTGCCTACACAACTGTCAAGGAGCCGTATCAAACCATCGTTTTTACAAGATGCTGAAATGGAACGGTGGGTCACTCGGGTTGAGGGCCATACTCATTGAGAGCTTATGAGTGAAGAAGTCCGTACTCGGGCAGGAGATCGGCTTATGGGAAGACTCGATGGTCATGTCCAAAACCCAGGACATGCTTAATGCCGCGGAGAATTCCTCTCGTAGCCGACAATATGCTGGAATCACTTTCTTCCCTCTTGCTCTGGCTTATTACGGGAAACCCCAAGCGTCCCTCCTTTGGGCGGTATGTCGTCATGGGAAAACTCGTTCGGGCAGTTGCCTCATTGCACAGCATTTATATGTCTAAATGTTGTACGAGACGCAGTAGGAATGATAGGGATCTTTTATAGAAAATGGTTGTAAAGGATGAATGTTGAAGGGGGGGGAGGGGGGGGGGGGGGGGGGGGGGGGGGGGGGTTAGAAGGCAAAAGTAGTGATCAGATGGTATCAGCAGAAATCATCGGTCATCCCACATGACCACAGGAAACCAAAGCGGTCAAACAGTCGACCAACCCGGGATGCAGAGAAACGGAGCCTCAAGTTATAAAATAGCGGATTATTGATCGAGATTATCGATTTCTGCCGGTATCAAGAGAAGCACTCACTCAGAAGCACTCCGAATTATTTGTTTTCGATTGTACGTGCTGTATCGGTTGGCAAAAGAAACTTTAACTCAAGCTCTTGCAATCCAATTGAGTTACTACTGTTCAGGGCGTGACTAGACGTGGATCTCCCACCCTATCGACGAAGTTGCAGCCTACGCAATGCAGTATCAGTGCTCTCTCATCTATGACAGCGCAACGTATCACTGAGGATATTGTTGAGGTGGATTTACGCCATTCCAAGTAGTTACCGTTAAGAAAATAAAGCCTGGATTATGGTATTTACGTGGCTGTAGCAGAAATGCTTGTTTACCAATCAAAGAGTTGATGTTTGTACACAATAAATTGTATGATCAACATAACTGCTTTAAATGTATGAAAAAAGGAGAGGCAGGGTGACAAGCAGAAACGGACCTACTCCCGATTGAGCGAACTTCATCTTGTCTGCCTGTCGAAGGTGCCAAAGTTTCCTCTATCTCCTACTGTACCACTGGGTCCACTGGTATTCCAGAGAAGTCTTCCTGTCCACAGTGGTTCCATAGAAGTTGAACTTGAAACTTTCAATTTCAAGCAACTGAGTCGCGATGTCCTAGCCTTACAGAACACTCTACTCACGATGTTATCAGACACGGAGACTGCAATGGAGATATTCCCGATACACTCTCCAAGACATGGTGCAGCTGGGGTACGATTGCTGGAGCAACGGAAAAGCAAGGCCAGTGAAATTACTCAAGGCTGTCAAAAGTTTGATAAAAGACACCATTTTTAGTTCTTCAATGAAGTGGCTGATGGTTCAGTGATTCTCGACTATGATGGATTGCTTACCAGACCACAAAGAACTGTAAGTCATTCTTCGGAAGCAAATTCAAATTCCGATATCAGCATCAGCAGAGATCAGTGAATTCGTACCACCTCAACCGTCCCGATAATTATCGATTTTCTTGAGCGGCCGACAATAACGACTGCATTCGTCCCTGTCGTGAGCCAGAATAGTCCAGCAGTGGATTGTCCTCGCTCGAAGGACACGAAACATTACATTTCTTAGTTCAAAGGTTTCGTGACGAAATCTACCCAGTGAAGTCGTGGAAACGAATTATCGTGAAATAAGGCAATTATGGAGTGTTAATTATTTCGACTAAGCATTTGTTTGACGCAGAATGAAATTTCGTTTATAGTTATTTCTGTGGGACGGAGGTGGTGTAGTGGCAAGTGGCGCACTATCTCACACGCACAGTCAGGGGTTTGAATCTCGGATCGATGCCCGCCCAAAACAACTAGGCCTTCCATCCCTCCGGGGTCGGTGAATTGGTACCAGACTCGTCTGGGAGGATAAAAGCACTGACTTGTACATCGGCTGGCCACCGCAAGTCATTGTATGGGCCAAATACGCACTCATCACGTCACTACGATTCTGAATGGGAGGCGAGCGCAGGGGCGCATCCCTCAGACGGGATTGATTAGCCAAAAACTTTATCGTTTATCCTTTATTAGCTATTTCCTGACGGAGTTCACGAATTTCCGACCAATCGATCCATCGATTTTCGAATCCTGAACGGTGAACTATGTACCGGGGTAAGAACAGGAAATGTAAGAAATTGGTCGCAATTTTTGGATCAAAGAAAAGACGCCAGAGCGTACCTTCGTTGAACGGCAAAGCGAAATTTAATCGACATCATCGCACAGAACCAAGTTCTTCTTACATATATTCGATAGAAATTGTTCAAATCCAAGCCTGACATCTCTACTGACGTCAGAAAGCTCAGTTATTCCACGCATCTTCTAATCGACTGCCTCAGCGATTGTACAGCTGGGACGCGAGCAGTTGCGTCGCGTCCTACTGTAAAGAGCTGTGTGTATCTTATAAAATAGTTTCTGCCAGAGTTGTATAGAGCTTTAGATGTAAATCTAGCCGCATCTAGGCCAGTCTGTTGCTATCAGTCATTGTAATATTTCAGCTTCGATTCGATCACACTAAAGACACGCAGTTCCTCGAAATTACCAACGTTACCGGGCAAAATCTTAATTGGACAGTGAAGGTATGCGATCAGAAGATTGAACTCGTCAAGACGATCTTTATGCATTTGAGCTTGGCTTGGAGACCTGATTTTTCCAGACCAATGCAGTCTATGAGATACGTGCTCTGCCTGCACAAGGAATCCTGGGCCGAAATGAAATGACTACAATAGCAGTGATCCTAAACAGTGATCATGTGATCCTACCTGGTACTGACCACTTCAATGACAAGGTATCGGTTCATAGTTCCTAGTCTAACTGTTGGAATTTTCCGATCAATAATCGATTTCTTTTAGCTCGCTATCGATTACCAAACATCTGGGAGTTTTCGTGAACAACACAAAAGGCAACGAATGGAATCTCCGGCAAAGAAGCGATATCAATTTGATATTCTATACAATTTCTAGATTTTTTTAGTCTTCTAGACGTTGATTTGAGTATTAGAAGTGGGTATGGAGGTAACCTCAATTTTTTAGTATTTTCACTGAACCCGAACAATTTCTACTCAGTACTTGGCTAGCTAATCCACGAAATATAGTGGCAAAACCAGCCTGTTCCCTAATCATTCAATGTTCAACTCCACTATACGACCCTCTTTATTTTGACAGACACTGGATTTGATATGACCACAATAATTATTGTCATAGCACATTTCAACGATAAAATTTGATCGTGATTCTCGTATGGGCCGCCAATTACCAGCTGGGTAAACCTCTGACCATTGCTCAGCATTCCCTAGCATGCATCGCCAATCGGCAGCTTTCCTGTTGATTTTCATCAAATTTCATGGTACGTACTTACAATCCTTCGGTATTTACAAATAAAATTACTCAACATTTTGTACAGATTCGGTGACAGGACTGAATAAAAGATGCCTACCTACCCTGAGCTCCTCACCTCTTCCCAAATTTAACGAGTCCCGAATCTGCACTCACCCAGCCCAACCAAGCTTTCTATCGCAAGAGTTCGACTAATTTGTTCCAGACTCGTTTAGGAGGATAAAAGCAACTCATTGTATAGGTATTCAGACGCCTCTACGTTCCTAAATCGATGTTGAATGCAGGGGCCCATCCTAAAAGCGGATTGAAAACCTCAGGGGATTATATACTTCATCCTTTCAAGATGGTAGATGAGGCTGTTCCGAAGAAAAATATCCCAAGTATCGGAGAAATGAAACATCTCTAAAAGATCTTGGAAGTTCTGCTCTTCTAGATTGCGGTTGAGTGCCTGAATGAAAGGCGTATATTTTAAGTATATTCCTACTAATCATTCTTACTGCACGTTCATGGTGAAATTTTTTTCAGTGTCATGCTTCGATTTACGATTTCTCCTAGAGAAGACCAAGCAACCGGTAGCCATTGAAATACCTACAAGTGTTCCCAATTATACAGAGAGTTACTGGTCAGAATGGAAAGAGGTGAGCTTCATAACTGTATCATTTTCTAGAAAGTCTTCTTTGTCTATACCGTCAATAGAACGTTGTTCGAGTTGTTCCGACATTTAAGTTTTCGTGCTGCAATTGACCTCAACTACCTACTGCAGAACCGCTGCCTATGAGCGAGGCACCTCCATAATCTTACATGTAGCCCCTCCTTTCTGGTAGAATATAAAAATCGTAAACTACCATATTAGTTACCCTCTTTCACCATGCATTCAGCGTGACAGTTCTTCTCAAGCATTCCAATCTTCTGCAGATTCGATTCGAAGGGAGCCCTGGAACGAAAGGCCGTTCGATTTCATATACTGTGTGATCAACAAGAAAGTGTCGTGTTCCCAGTCAGAGCATGAGCTAGGAGGGAAACTTCGTTAAGTCAATGCAAGCTAGCGAACCCCACTGCTGGAACTCTTCGGGTTCCTTCTACACCTGTCCCGAATGAAGTGGTACCATTAGCGTAATGCGGACCATGACCATGCCGTCAAAGCACTTTTTGTGAGCACGGGTTACTTGTCAATAGTCATTCGTAGTAAATCAAAGTGGACCATGTAAAACATTTAGGGCCTTCTCCGATAGTCTCATCAACCCACAGACCAAGTCCCAGACTACTTAAACCTCACCGGTCCAAGAAAATTCCTGCAATAATTCTCTGGATACAGTACTGCTAGTGATGCCAAATGACAGCTATTTCAATGTCTAGCTCTCCAATGGTTACGAGAATTATGTCAACAGCATCGCTCCATGTTTACTCAAACGGTTCTCACAACACTGGCTACTTCAGGAATATTGAAAATACGGCTGGAGTATCGCTTCTATTCCAGGTCCTTTCATGCAATGCTGAATGCGGTTCCTGTGGATCACAAGTCTTCCGTCGTACCTGTATCGGTGCTTTACCCTGCAGGTAAGCACTTTTTGCAGTCTAAGAAGTGAAGGATTCCAATTATCAGCAGCCATCAGTTATTTAAGGTCAACCTGCGCGGTCTCAATGAAGGGATAGAGAAGGAGATGTGAGGAAGGATGTTTGGGAAATGGTCAGTAGGAATCACTCTGAATGTAACATAGACAATAAGTCCCTATAAGTAAGACTGATTGCGAGACCTCTGTAAAAGGAGGAATGCACGGATGGTCTAATAGGGGATTTATAGAAGGGTGTAAATTGTGTTCTATAAACTACCTGAAGTGTATCATATGAAGCTGTTCTTTCCCTATTATGCTGCTCCATACGCCCAACTCTCCTTCAAAAATTTTGTGGCTTTTGATTGGTTACTAGACCTACGTTACAATCAGCAGTAACCGCAAGTTGGTGCTAATCCCGACGGTTGTGATGTCGGCCTATCTTGGAGAAATCTAAAAGAACCCATATTTATAGGACTCAACGCGGTAGTAGACCTACGGATTTCACTCATAAACTTACCTTTTACTGTGCACCCTTTATCTAATTATTCGCTATACAATGAAGATACCGTATCTTGAACTCCATTTTGCGCAGTTGCTACGAGTCAGAAGAACGTCATGTCTTCAACACATCCTATCGAACGGGCCGCCAGGCGACCGCGCGCCTTACTGACACCCATTACGACTGTTATATAATACGATCAGTGGAAAATGACATCCATTGCCATAATAAGAACTACTTCATTTCAGGGGCAACTCCAGAAAAGAAGAACGATGCAACATTCAAGTATGTGACTACCCGAAACCAGCATGCTGTCCGCCTTACAAACTGATGCTGATTGAAGGGGAGTTCGCTTGTGGACCTCAGAAGGAGGTACTGCGCACTTCATAGTATCCTGTTTATGTGTTAAGCATTACACGAAAGGAGACTTTCTGAGTTTACCCTTAGCGGTAGGGTATTTTTGTGCTCGGTTATCGTTTCAGAATGTCGTCTCTGCATTTGTTGCCCAACTCCAAACGAAACCACAGCAGCGAATGAAATCTCCCTCAGAGCTACCTTCCGAAGTGAGCTACAACTTTTCTCTCTTTGATGACTGGAAATTGCTAAGAAGTATTTGGATCTAACGAGTAGATTTCCTAAAGGAAAGCATTTTCCGTAGTCTGAACTTTCAATTTTCGTAAATGTTCCAAAATCGGTATTTAGCCAAAGTATCTAGCTTCGATCCTTTTCCAACTCAAAAAGACCGTGAAATTCAATCTCGCTATATGGTTGTAGCTGAAAGAAGATTTAGGGATATACGAAACTCGAACGACTAGCGACACTACAACACCAATGAGGGCGAGTAGCCCGGGTACCCTGCCCAGAACAACATGAACTCGAACCTGTTGGCAGACATCATTTCGTTCGAGGTGCCGACCGCGCCTTCCTAAATATTCACTGAGTTTTCCGAGGACTAATTGAGACTTCATACCTGAATTCCCGCGTTCCCAGGCACGCACGCGGCATTGATTTGCCAGCGACTATCGTAGACATCCGGAAATTCAAAGCTCGCACGTACCGACCCACAAGAACGCGAACGACGTACCGCACGCGGCACCAGCTCGTGGGCATTATTCCAAATCAGGATAAGGAGAATGATGAAAGCATGCTCCTGATAAGCTTTTGCTAGGAGCACCCAAGTAAGCAAGACGAAGAGCCGAGGGGACTCCCCAATTGACGGAGTGTTGGTGTCGAATTCAGTCACTGTCCACCATGTCACAGATAGAAAGGCAGAAAGGTAGAAAAAGGCTCGTTCCTAAAAGAAACTGTGCAGAACTCGATGCCGAGTGATGGCATTACGCTGCTGCTGTTAACTTTCGGGAAGTTTCCTAACAGTCCGAGACATACTTCACATTAATTTGTTATGTATATCAACTTCTTAGAAAATAATAAATGTCTGTGGCTCACAGTCTTGGTGTAGGAATTACGTTAACCTCTACAACTTTCAGGAAGAATCCATGTTGTTCGCGCACAATTCAACATCCGACTGAAGTCAGCCGGTGGATCTTTGTATAAGCATTCATATTCAATCATTTTCAATCAACCTTTTTGCGATAACCACATGATCATCTTGATTTACATGCATGTCAATAATAAAACATAGTATGAAGTGTTTGGCGTTGATCGATCACGTCAGAGGGATGTGCCACGCATTCGACTTCCACTCAGAGTTGTATTGGCGTATTGAATGCATATGTGGCCTATACAATGACGAAGGGGTCAGCCGATGTACAGCTCAAAGCTTTCATCCTCCCAGACGAATCTGCTACCACTTAGCCGACCTTTGTTGACGTGGCCGAGTACGACATTCCCACTCTAATTTTACTCGGACTTAATTTTTTACTTTTGCCCTGATTGATTACAATGTAAATTTACCATGGAATATTTAAAAAATCATAATAAGCTAATCAGAATCTAACTAGCCTGCATTAAAGATATCCCTCTCAAATAGGACGCACTCCTGGACGCACGTTTGTTTGAAATCATGAATCTGAGAAAGTAAACCCTGCTCGGCTCCGAATGATTTGAATCCGTTCCCTAGAAATGTGCCCTTGTCACTGCGCTACCATTTCCGATCGCGAAACCACCCCTTCTCTGCCCCACCCTTGCTTTCATGTCGAGATTTTCTATACTTACCAGCGTCTTGAAAGGCAACGGTTTGAGTCCAGACGAGAAACCGACGAGCAGCAGCGTCCGTGCACAATACAAACAAGCCAAACTTACCTACTTACCTTACCTTAGTTATCCCCCCTCCCATGTGTCCCACGTGTCCTCGTCATACACATAACATACCCTGTTCTATCCCGACTTTCTGCTATCACAAAGCTATGTTTTCTTTAAAGCAGCTGCAATTCACGTTAGACTACACCATTCTTATGGTTCCCAACTTTCTACAAATCGAACAGAAATCTCAAATAATGATTGTATAACTTCTGGGAGTTTCTTTCTCAGAAAGGAAAAAAACTACTTACCTGAGCTGCTAGGTCACGCAAATTCATGTGCCACTCACCCAAAAGCGAGAGCATTTATGCCGAGGTCAGATTACGGACATGGCGATGAAGTAGCTTCAATTTTAACAACTATAACAAGCGCAACACAAGAAAGACAGATAAATAATTTAAGAATAGATAATACAGATCTAAAACATATAATGACTCAATATCTAAAAGCAAATACACGTAATCTCCAAGCACGAAGAATCGTCTAAATATGGGCTACTTCCTCTTCCTCCTCTATAGCCTCCTCTTCGCTGTCCTTCGCGTAAGGAACGAGTTTCGGATAGTTGTCGGCTAAAAGTCGGGTCAACACATCATTCTGTTCATCATCTTGGTATAACACCGATTCACAAAGGGGCAAAACCTGTAACATTAAGGGAATGAAATGGAAGTTGGAGTTCTGCCCAGAAAATATCATTACCTGAGTGAGTACAAAAGTAGCAGTATAAGCATATACAGTGCTATCACATATTGAAGAAGACAAATGGCGAAGATACTCATTCCAAAGCTCATTTGTGCAACGATCACATGACGAACGCGCGGGTGATCTAAATTAAACAGGTATCGGTAAAAAAAATTGCCAAACCGTAGGAAAATAATCAAACTTTAAAATTACTTGTAAATTTGAATCAAAAAAGCAGATACAGAGGAATTAGGACGATTCTGTCAACTTTCAAGACACTTATTACATGGGAAGGAAACGGACGTCAAAACCTATTGACAAAGAAACTATCGTTTGGTTAATCTGTCCATAACGATATCTAGTAGCTAGAAATAGAGGAAGGTCGTCAAAAAATCATGATGTCATTAATCCACACTGAAAATGTCAAAATCCTAATAGCATTTTGGAAACAAAATTTTAAAACTGACCGTCTAAGAGGCCCCAAATCCCTGGCAAGCGAATGCGCTACACGTGCAAAATGAATAGCGTGCGGTGAAAGCAAAACGGCTGCACGACTGTCTGCTGCCACAGTCCAGTCTATATTCAGACCAACATCTGACAATTCTTCAACCAGTCGAGTGAGAGCAGAATCGGATTCCAGTACGTATGGACGCCACCGTTCTTCCTTGAAGAAAACGAGAAAATTCCAGAACAGGCTTTTAAGAACTAAAATATTGTTGCGAACTTACAGCCATTCGCAGCTTGACGCCATGCATAATGTTGTTGAAATTAGTCTCAATAGCAGCCTCCAAAGCAGGAGCCAGAAGCCGATGCACCTAAGAAAAAGCTGTTCATAGTAGGTGAACACTTATTTTTTGAGCGTTATCTATACTTTCATTCTTAATAACATAGAATAGAGCTAAAAAGAGAGTTGTAGGCGCTTTCCGAACGAGAACATGACGGTGATGCAACATGACCAACCTCAAAAGTCAGCTGCACACCCATAGAAGTGAGCTCGTCCATAGTTTTCATCAGGATTCCCCAAGTGAACGCTAGGACAGTCATTGCTGGAGCAACCTCTGGAAAACAAAGTAACATAAGTTTGTTGATCATAGCGATTGGATATTCTGTGTTCTATAAAGCAAGCACGAAAGACCCTGAAGGAAGATTTCTATCTGAAAGACAGTAAATAACTAGCTCACCTATAACATGACGTCGTACCAATGAAAGTAAGATGCTGAGCTCTCCTGAACACCATTGCAGGACCTGAAATCGACGAAGTAGGAGTTGGTAGCAAATAATTGCACTGTTCTTTCCCTTAAGTCATTTATACCAGTAATTCCAGCATTTTTTTAAAAACTTTAAAAAACTTTAATTCCAGCACAACAGGCAATGGTACGACAATGAAACTCAGTTACCGATACTTTGCTAAACTATTGTTTTCAGCTCGCTTGGAAAATATTTTTGGCTACTTATTCATCGGCAGAAGGTTCGAGTCAGAACCTTAGCATATCAGGTGTTGACGACAAAAATTTGTAAAAGCTTTGGAAAAATTAAAGAAAATATTAGCACGAACTTAGAGGTAGCAGAATTTCACAACACTCAGTGGTTAACTGAGGATTTTTAACTGTACACAACATACCTGACAATAATATTGGGGTTGTGAATGGAACTCGCTAGCCACATCAGTGACTGCTGCAGAAAATAACGTGCAAAGCTGTCGAACATAGGACAAGGGTTCTTCGGATACCGCTATATCTTTGACAGCAGCTCGTTGCAGCGCACTGCGACGGCGAAGGTAGAGGTCCATTGCGTAAGTTCCTAGATAGCGATAGTCTTCATCATGCGCATGAAAAGAAAAGAAATCCGGAGCGTACCTCTTCCTAGCTGCGATAAAAGTGTTCGAGCTTTCTTCATTGCACGAGGACCACCATGTACAGCACCTGGACGTCGGACGTCATCGCTCAGTAGTTGCACAATCTAACAACATCAAAAGATGAGAAACAAAGCCAAGAAAAAGCAAATAAACGATTAATCAGTGGTAAAATACATGAAGTAGACGCGGTGAAAAATCAAAACAAGGGTTTTTGAATCATACCTGATTCTCCCTAATTTTCATCTGAGCGTCTATATTAGGATCCTTTGTAGTGCACTGTTTCCACTCATGGATAAGTTCTACAGCTTGATCAAGGTCCCTGAATGAAGGAATGGAATCAGCCGGTAAACGACGAAATAGGTCAAATTTGTACCTATGTGCAATACAGTCGTCTAACTCTGCTGGTAACTCTTGAAGCCACGCCATCTCCTCTTGATCTGAACCGAGGGAGAAGGATCGATTACAACTTAGACTAATTACAAGTAGACTCCCAAAGAGAGAAAAACTCACTAACTTCTCCCTCTTCGGTCTCTGGGAGCGAGTTTTGTTTAGATGGGGTATCCTCGGCCCGCTTGGCACGCTCCTGAACTTAGCTTTTATGAAAAGCTTACGCCGAAGGAAAAGCCCACAAAGGTCGCAGTGAAGAGCACCTGTACTGATATCCTTTTGCCTCGAATTGTCGACTGCCTAACTAAAATGCCTTCGTGTAAAATATCCCGTTTCGCTCTTTCAAGCTCATCGAGCCACATCTTCTTGACACGAGCACTATCACAACGGTAATACCTGAGACAGATAAAGAATGAGTTTTTCCGGCTTAATGGCATAGAAATATATGACACTGTATACATAAGAATTCCAAAATATCAGAATCTCCTCGATCTCAAAATAACAAAAAGAGAAGTTCGCCTTATCAACTGAGACAATCAAGGGACAACAAATGAACTTCGGCCACGTAACAATTAATCAATCTATGATGACGAGAATCTTCATTTTACGCTAAGGCTGGGGTAGAAGTAATGGGCAGATAAGCATAGCATGAACGGACACAATAAATAAAGTGGCTCAAAGAAGTCAACATACCTCTGCTCAGGGAACACAAGCAGCTTCAGCAACTGATCAGCTTTGGCCGGTCCACTCTCTCTATCTTTGACATTGACAACTGCCAGATTACTCAGCGAAAACGTAGACTCCAGACTGAAACATCTTCATGTGAGCAATATTTATAGTCAACATTATGAAGCAAGATCTTCTTGAAGAGAAATAACAGAAATAAAAAGGTGACAAATTTGTAAAGAAAAAATTTCTGAATAACCAACTCCGGAACTCCAGAACAAAAAAAAANAAAAAAAAATAGCAGCAAAGAAAACATCAACAAGAAAAAGGTCAAATACACAGGGGAAAATGAACAGAAAATTAGAAAAAGAATTACCTATATTTCCCTGAAGGAGTAATGTTTCCTATCAATAATCGATCGGTGAGAAGCACAAGCATCGCCCTATGAATGTCCTCCTTTGTTTCAGGATCCAACAGCATCATTTCACCGTAGAGTAAAACTTTGTCCGTACTCCGCATATTGTTCAGAATACTCTTAAAACACGTGTCAAGTTATCGCTCAAAACCAATGGGTCCACGTCATTCCAAATATGCTTTTTCAAAAGGAAGCTAGCACATGATGCAAGGAACTTTGACCTACCGCTATTCCATCCATCTTTTGCATGAGAACTTGAATGGGAGTAATAGAAGTAATAGATGCTGTATGACTAGATGCCGTTTGGATTGATGACTTATCGTCTCCTTAACAATGATTTCTCATTTACATTAACTTGAACCAAGCGCAAGTGCTGAGACTTGCCTGTCATTTGCATAAGGTTTTCAATGAGCTGTTTTTGATCGAGCAGGAGCGATGAGAGCTGATAGATCTCCTGCTCAAGATCTGAAATGGAGAGTCCCTTTTACCTCTAATATTAGACTTTTGCGTGTTCTTCTATTCCTTTCATTGTGATAGTCCTTTTTAGGGACGGAAAAGGCTGAAGGACTTCGTTAAGAAAAAACGTGCGTGTAATGGTTCTCCCTTATCCTTTTAAATCTACAGATTCGCACAGATAGGTAGGTAAAGCTATCCACCGATGTGGGTCAACCTAATTGTTGCCCAAGGTAACAACACAACTCGTAAGTCATCGAAAAGGAAACGATGCATGGTGCACTTCTCAGTATGTGTTCTCACGCATTCACCCAATTCAACATCCTGCAATTGAGTCAAGTCACTTAACTGGAACTTGACTTTTGAGGAATTCGGCTTGCTGTTCCAATAAAAAAAGAATATGATGCAGCAAATTCACGAAAAAAAGTTCAACTAACGCGAGATTTCCTTAGACGCATCGATAAATTGCTGGTAGTTTTGGAAAACGTTGTTCTTGAGCATCTCTTGAGACGCATGGTTCATCGCGTTCATTTCAGTCCGGAGGGCGTGCAGTTTTTTCGTTTCATCCCCAGTTCGAACGCCTTTCAACCGGTCGCGAATAACTAAATGAAAAAGGGGAATAATAGGGAGTATTAGAAACCGCAACACCTATGATTTGTCTCCTCTACTTAGGCGTTTAATCTGGCGAATCTTGAAAATCCCCGGAAGCCGAACAAATTATCTTTGAACACTAGTTTAATGAAGTATCTTAGTGAATAAAATCTTCAAGAAACATTTCCCTTCAAACCCGTTTACCTAGCTGGTACAATTACATGACTGTTCTTCAGAATAGCAGGTGAAGAAATGTCGAGTATTCTTCATATTGTCAAGAATATGGTTTTCCTTACGGCGTTTCTTGCTCGTAGGCTCTGACCATACAACGCGCAGGGCTCGCACGGAGCATTACAGTAGCTCAATGGAAGCAGTGGGGCAGAATTCAAGGCCAAAATTCAAAAACCGATCGCGCATCCCACAGCCAGGCGATCACCGTCGGGTGTTTGGTTGGGATTTCTGTGAATCTCCTATTATAAGACCCCCTTCCCAAATACAGGCTCGACTCAGACTTAAGAAATGCTTCGAAGATTGCCATCTACTCACTGGCTATCTGGTTCCCCAGTTCTTTGAACCGAAATAATTCCTAACAGAAGGGCATTTCCTGAAATCGGTTAGACCGACAAGCTACAATGAGGCAATATCACTCCATATTGATTCTAGAGCAAAGGATACTTCCTTTCCCTTAGAAAGTAAGAAGCTAGAAAGTTCTAGACTCACAGTCTGATGGTGAAAAGTTGTCAGAAAGAAGCGCCCCATCACCAGATTTCTCGAGTTCATCTCGAGTTTCCATGGCAGTTAAGGAAACTGCGCTGTTCACTTACTACTGTCTCACTGTGACCTGAAATTCTGTAAATTTGACAACTGAAAGGCCCGAGAACTCGCCAACGTTTCTAAACAAAAGAAACAAAAAAGATTTCGAGGCGAAGCACTGATCACATCTAGGAAGACGTCATCGCAGCAATCATACCGTAAATTTTATTCAAGCGACTGGGCAAAAGACAACAATAGCGACCTAATTTTACAGTGCAACGTACTGCGTCGCAAAACTGGCAAGGCGCCAACAGGTTTTACTGATTATCGATCCACATTGTTCAACGATATATGCTCGAAGTGCTCTTCAATTTTATTTCCGTTTGGATTTTTCCTCTGAAATGGATATGCAGTCTTCGAGTGACTCAACATTGCCAAAGCCTGGCGATCTTGTCTGGGCGAAAATGAAGGGATTTCCACCGTGGCCAGCGAAGGTGGGTTTTTTGCAGTTTTTTTTTTTAAATTTGGAGTGGTGTTACTGAATTTTTTTTTTGATTTTTCACACTACCCTAACTATTCATGTACAGTGATTGGAAGATGAGACTTTGCACTGCTTTTTCAGTTCTTAATAGCTGTTTTTGTAGGTTTTGGAGAAGGATAAGGACACTCCATTATCTCGCATTCCCGTGCTATTTTTCGGTACTGGAGAGAAAGCTTTTATGAAAGCATCTGATCTGTGCGATTATTATGAAAACAAGGCACAATATGAAGTACCACGGAAGCATAAGGTTAATGTTTGTGCGTTTATGGAAGTCAGCGGCGGAAATTTTTTTAATCTGCCAATATACTGAATTATACACCCAATATAAAAAGAAGCCTGGGATTCGATAAGAAACTTACATATGAAGATGTCTTGAAATATTCTAGGCTTGGGAGAGAGTGGGTAGTTTGAAAGTTGCCAAGGGAAAAGAAATTGAGGTTATGATAGAAACCTCCCACAAAAGCGATTTGTAACCCCCAGTCTCAGGATCCGTGATTTTAAAAGAATCCTCATCCAATATCTATCATCTGATGCTTTCTTATTTCATTGCTTTGGACTATACAATACAAATGCTTTGTCGAGGCGGTGCAGTGCTAGATAGAGCCACTACTATAAGTGCGACTAAAAATCGCGATCAATACTCCATCGAGCTCCCACCCTTTCTATCATAACTATCGTCACCTTTGTCTGTGAAAGTGAAACCACTGACATATAAATTGACGAGCCCTCCCAATTTACTGTAAATTCCAAACAATCATCAAACGCCACTACAATCCTGAATAAAACTTGAGTATGTTAGCAAATTATTCGAAAATAATTAGTAATTCGAATACTATTATAAAAGTATCGAGTTTTCAGGGCTTCAATGAGGGTGTCCATGAGATTCGCGTTGCTGCTGGCTTCGAAACGACCTTTGATGCAGATCCACTTTTTGGAGCAAGCTCATCAAGCAAATGTCCGTCTCCTATGCTTTCGGGAACTATTCAGGACAAATCGAGATTGGGTACTGGAAAAATGCTAGCCGACGCTTTTTTATCTGGATTTGAACGGCGTCGAGCCAATTCTGGCTCAACAAGGTTAGTTCGGCCCTTTTTCACTTCACACATTTACAGTTCTGATATCTCTCTATTTCAGGTCTCGGTCTAGGGCCAGTAGTTCAGCTTCTGCCTTGAAAAAGTTGCATAAGGCTATGCATCGGCGGAGATTGGATAGTGGGAGCTCTGCTGGATCACGACGGCTCAAAGGGATAGCCGGCTTTAACGACACAGGCGGCTTCGATCTTTTCGACAGTTTTCAGGTAATTGACTCAGTTTCTCAAGTTCGATCCTTTTTATGAAAAATTTCGGATAACGAGGGGACGGGTCTGTGCGAGGACCGGACAAAAATACTCAGCTATTGTTGGTCCGCTTATTCATGAGTTTCACACATTTTCTCAGTATCTATTGCTTCTAGCAAAATTCATCATTTTCGGAATAAATCAGACAAATTGGGTTTTGGAGATATTTCTATTTTTGGTAACATGTTCTTGGGTCTTACAGATACATGTTTTTCTTTTTCGGGGCATATGATTTCGCATCTTAAGTCAGTGTCAGGATTGGTATCAAAGATGGGAGTTGGATTAGAAGTTGCGGGCAGCCTTTTTCGTGATTTGGTGAATTTGTGTATTAACTCATATAACTGTAACCCATATAATGAATATGGTTTGTGGACCGCTACTACTGAATTTCGTATTGATTTCAAATGTGATGAGTGTTAGGACAAAAGTTTATGTGGCCTTATTTGCAGGGATTAGATGGTAATGATTTCAACATGTTGGATGGTGGACTTAATTTGCTTGCAAACGACGACGCAAGATCAAGCCGATCAAAACGATCACGTGCTTCATCGAAACTCTATGATGATTTCCTTCTCAATGGCTTTGGCACAAGATCGCGGCATCGCTCGGGAAGCGCGAGCGAAGTCGGGAGGAGAAGCAGGTAATATATTGTTATCCAACTAGGAGTGTCATCAAATTGGGGTCATCTCCGACAGTGTTGCCCTAACACAATTCAGATTGCTAGGTGCGATATGTGATTATTTAGATTAATATCTGGAGTTTCGGACGTGTTCGATGAGTTACTGTTTAATGGGGAATTGAATTTACAACAAGCTGCTGAGCAACTCTTGCACACACTGGATGAGCTTCCTTCAGAAGGCAGTGAGGTAATTTGGCCATTGCTGTTAATAAAGTCAAGTGTGATCGGTTCATGTGCTAGTACAACTGGAAAACAGCTTGCTCTGCGTAAACTCATTTTCACTCTGCTTATTTCCTCATGTTTATCCCTATTCTTCTGCCTAAATATTGATACCTACATCTCTTTTTGCTTAGGCACGACCCGGTACACCAGAAGCTCCGGCACCCCTTCCTGGTCCTGCTCTATTTTGCACAGCCTGCGGTTGTGAGTGCAAGCTAACTGATGGAAAGTGGAGGTATTAAAGGCCCCTCGATTTCGATCATCGCTCTGTTCATATTGTTCTCTTCAGGTGCACATCGAAGTTCTGCAGAAAAATACATGAGCCTGATAGCTATTCTGAGCAGAAGCGAGAACCAGCGCAATCCTCTGGTCCTCTAACCGCAACTTCTCCAGTGGTTAAAACTGAGGAGAAACCTCTGAGTAAACCTGTTGTAGGGAGTGATGAGAAGTGCCCAAAGGTTTCACAGGTTAGTTGTAGGCTTGAGATGGTATCCTTTTTCGTCTTTTTCTCAGTGATTATTTCTTCAGGGTAAGATGAGGATGAGAACGGAAGTCATGGTAAAAGAAGAAGATGAGGAAGAGCATGTGGAGTCGTCGCCTTCCAATGCAAGATCAGCTATAAGCCTCAGAAGGCGGCAGATTACCTCTCCAGTGAGAAAGAGAGCTAAGAAAGAGGTGCGTTTTTTCAAATGTGAAACATTATCGTCTATCAATACTTTCTGTCTTGATCCATTTGATTTTCTTTTTTTTTCCGTTTTATTGCAACTTGAGTAGCTGTATAATTGTTATCTACGATGTTTTCAAACAGGAAAGGTAGTAAAAAAAGGTTGTGAGGCCACTTGTTATCAGCGCCATCTAAAATAACTTCCCAGTCCCACACATTCTTCGATTTTCGCTGTTTTCTCCCTCAGAAGAATTCGGCACAAAATTAGCTAGCTCACTTGTTTTCTTTCCCATTCTGTCTTTTACTGCACTTCCTAGGAACCAGCTGAAAGCAGTTGTCCAACATCTTCGAAGGAACCTAGGAACAAGGTTAGTCATTTTATCAAAAAAATTACCGTATATATAAATGATGCACGAATTTTGAGACGAAGGCGTTGACTCCACCTCGTGAGCTGTCGTTGTTTTCTCCGGTGTCTCCCCAAAAATCTACTACTGCAAATGTAGTGCAAAATAATCCCGATCAAAGGCGGCACATACGGGGTACTGGGCGGCCAAGGCAGTAGTGAGTCATTTAGACATCTTACTTTGTTGTTTTTGTTGCTGCTGTTGGATACAAAAATTTTTGATGAGCGAGTATTTTTCAGCAAAGTTGAAAAAACACCTGTGATGGGACCCAATGGTCAACGACAGTGTACATTTTGTAGTGGGCAAGTCAGACCTCAAATGTGTGGTAGTAATAAACACAGGTAAATTAAGTCTCGTTCCATTGGTTGCAAAAGACTTTCGATCAGCTTGATCGTTCTAGATGAAATTCGCACATGTAAATGTTCAGGGTAGATGTCTTCTGTCATTCAGCTAACAACCTAAATTCACAGTAACAGTTCTAACCAGATGACTTTCAACGTTATTACTTTTTTCAAAGCCTTCAGGATTGTCACCCATAAGGTCCACATACAAATGCTCATGTAACGTTGAGGTGTAGAAGGATTTTGCGTTACAACCTAAACATTTGCGCAATTTTTCAAAAAAAACTTTCACCCCTGTCTTCAGTAATCTGAGATGCGTGCGGCATCTGTTCATGAATTTACATGGGCAGTTGAATACGTATTTGATTTAGCCTTTCCTATGACTCGTGTTACAAACAGTAAATCTTTGCCGTCCCCAAATTTGATTTCTGGTTCTGGAGAAACTAGCATCTACTTTCGTTACTAGGTTGTAGACATACAACTAATAGTAAGGCGTGTTGTCTCAGTTACATTTTCGACCTACACTTTGTGGTGTGTGAGGATATGTAATATATTGAGGTGCATGATGAAGAGTTTGAGGCTTTTTTCGACTGCTTCGCAAAGTTCTTTTGTGCTACTCATTTTGTATGTAATTTAGCCGTTGATTTCTCAGGTGGCGCTGTGTGGACAAGAAATGTCGAAAATGGTATGGCTGGGTGAAAAGCCATGAAGAAATACCGAGGGATTTGGGCAGAAAAGGCAGATGGAATCTCGCTGCTCGCACAAAGAAGCCGATAATCTCTTCATCTCGTAAAAGCAAAGAGGAAGAAGATACAGGTTACTTTGATGCTCCCAGCATTGCGACTATATTACTCTGAAAATTACCCTGATCAGGACCAGCATCGCTTTCATCACAAGCTGAAGCAGCATTAGCCGCTGCAGAGATACAATCTATGCGAAGTGATAATACTAGTGATCCGATTACGGTGGTAGTGGAACAGAATGTTCAGGTGTGGTGATGATAGTACTACAGGTTACATTTGAGAGGTTCCAGTGATTTTTCTGTTAGGAAGTCAAGAAGAAGCTTGGACGTCCGCCTAAGGAACATGGTTTGAAGATCCGGCTAAAAGGAGTGAAGGAAAAGAAGGAAGTACGGTTTCTTGCATGATTTTTTTTCTACAGTCCCTTCGTTTCACCCAGGTGCATAGCCATTTCTTGAAATTCAGCAGGACACACGTCAAAAGAGAAAGTACGTTCGACGGCGTGACAAAATTACGGGTGCTCCAATAAATAGTGTTTTGCACAGTCGTTCGCTCGATCCGGGAGAGCCAAACCCTGGTAAGAATTTCGAGTGATTTTACTTACAACTTTTTTATTTGAACAGCTTTTCAATTTGGAATTGGTCTTGTCTCTGATGAATGTTCTTATAATTTCTTACTGAATGCTATTTTTGATTATAGTTCCGATACCTCTCACTGAGGCTGAAAAGAATTACGAGCCGTGTGCTATAGAAAAACGAGTTCGATGGTGGTTAAGCGAAAAGAGGCGCATTGATGCTAGCCCAGAAAGGTTTGTTCCAATTTTCACAATCTTAGAGTTCAGGAATTGGAGTGGATGAACTCAGAATGTACCCGCTTTGACTGTCGCTTCCTACTTTGGTTTCAATTGTGTTGTGTTTTGGCTTGTCTGTTTCATACTCCTTTTTTTCAACTTCATTTTCATTTTCATATCACGTTTTCACAGTTTTTTTTATATTTCGCGATTGAATATCCTATCTACAGGCTTACTTCAATAGGCCCCTAATTCTATTTACAATTGAATTCAGGGCTTATTGAAATAGATTTGTAGCTAGGACTATCGGCGGCTTGTTAACCAAGTAGCATAATCGCTTAGAGATCTCCCGCGACTTTGCAAAATTTTTCATGGTTTTCAAGCAAGAAATCACAGTTCTATGTAGAGTTGAAATGCATAAATCCTACTTCAATACAATGATTTGATGAAAGACGTGCTTCGAAGAACAACGAAAAATGAGTCACAAGCAAAAAAACGAAACGAACAATAAATTCATTTTTTTCTTAAAGTTTTGACCCACTCAACCAGTCAACTGTTCAGGAAATTCGAAACGAAAGTTATCGACTCCTGTGCCGCATTTCGAATGCTCTCGCACGCATTTAGAGCGACAGCAGTAACACGGTCAGTTCATTTTTTTGTTTTTTTTTATTTTTTTTTTCTCTTGCACCTTTTGTCTGTACGTACATTATTAGTATGTTGATTCTTGTTCTGGTTTTTTTTTTGTTTTATCCTGTTATCAGTAGGTTTATTTTTGTTGTTAAAGGTGTTCCTGCTATTTTTCTCTCAATTTCTTACAACTTTATAAATGAAATGGAGTTGAATTGGTAATTCATAGCCAAGAGATTCTTTATTTCAAGAATTCGACTTGAATTTCTTACAAATCAGAATTTTCTCCGTTGGGCAATTGTAGAGACTGAGATATCCATCATTTGTTTGTCAACCTTGCTGTCATATCGGGATTTTTGTGATTACGATTTTGACAGTTTATGATGCGCCTAAGACATCTAGGCTTGCTTAATCTTTTTTATCAGATAGTGGCTAGTATCAACGAGCACATTTTAGAGCCGATGAAGCGCATTCAGTTGATGGGTCTCTCGACATTCTCATGGATTCGCTTATGGGTTCTTTAGGACCTCTTCTTACCCTAGCTTCTGCCGCTTTCGAAAGTCTGGTGAGTTTACTCTACTTTACTCTGCTACTTTAGTCTTACTTTTGTCAGAAAGTTTTCGTGATATTTTCTTGCTAAGGACAGGATTATCGCAGAAGATTGCTCAGTTGCTGAAGGGTTTGGTAGGTGGGGATTGTTGTAAAGAAGTTAGAAAAGCGAAAGTTCAGGAGGGAGCGAAGTCAGTCTCCCCCTCGGTTTCATCATGAGAATTGGCTCGGATGGTTTTTCAACCGGAGGGATTGAGTAGGTGAAGCAGTAGGCACAATGCGGAGCAAGTAGTGAGGTCCTTAACAAAGCATTAGTAATAGATAAACAGTTTTACACCCTTCTCCTTTGCGCGATTCCACGTTTTCCTCACGCACCGCGGCGTGATGCGAAATTTCTCCCCTTTCTATGGGTACACTTTTCCTGAACATTTTTTATACTCAACTCCGTGATAGCCTTCCTATTCCATTTTCTGAACTTTAAGATTCCCGATGAACTAGCCCAAAAGCTGTGGAATTCGTCGGCCGTCCATCTCCCGACTTTTCAATAGCAATTGTAATTTGATTACAACTTTAGTCTGCTTACTCGCTTCGCTAGGATTCAAATTACTCTTAGAACTTAACTGTGATATAGAGTTTGGACCAATGGATGCTTTTATTAGACTCCGATTTATTTGCCTGCATTAAATGGAAATATTACATTTTACTCGTATTTGTTCTTTTGTTGCATCAATACTTTACAAAAGTTTTCTCCTACCTCTTGGCTACTAACGATCTCACTTTTTTCGTTCATTTTTTTGTTTTGTTGTTTTTGTTTATTTTTAAGGAGTTTGTTTATATCTTTGAACTCACCCTAACATTTGTATAAAGTTTATTTTCAATTTCATTGTGATTCTAGTCGAATTCTAGTTGTCAATGAAAATTCTACAAGCTTGAAACATCTGTTTTGTTATGTTGCTTCACATATAGTCACCAATCTTCTGCAATCAAAACTCTGTTGGTTTCAATTTGGAACTTGGGTGTTTCAAACCCCTGCTCGATTTCCAACAAGGTAGTATCGTTCCCCAGTTAGTTCAATATAGAGTTCAACGGATTTCGTATTTCTTCTTATTGCAAATTTTAAAGGAATAGTTCACAATAAAAAAAAACTCCTACCATTTCCTCTTATAAATTGCCAATGCCCCCCACGGGTAACATAAAGGACAGCCGGGATATAAGCCTCATAACCGGAATCGTCAAATCCACGCTCGTCGACCGATGATATGTTAGGCGAGTGTGGAGGCGATATAGTTTGCGCTATTCGCGCCAGAACCTACGGGCTCAGCCTGCAAGCATCAGCTTAGCGCCGAATGATTAGGGGGTGGTTTATTCTTAATCTATTACTCTTTTTGCTGCTGCGGTAATTTCTTTAGTTTTCTTCTACGATGATGAAAAAATGGTTTATTTCTGCTGTCAATCGTATTGTTGAGTTATGCTAGTAATTTTGAGTGTATTGACTGGGCATTTGTGCTTACTGTAGCCAGCTATTCGCACGAGTACCCACATGTACGCAATGACACACATTGTATAGCTCGTCCAAACACCATTCGCACGTCATTTTTTGGTCTTATGCTCGTCCAGCCCCACTCTTAACGACTTTTTTAAAGCTTTTTATCTCTTTGGAAGGCCGATTGCCTTCTTCGTCTCAATCGCGCTATTCTCCATATTCTCTTTTTCTCGTCATAATCTGGATAACCCAAAATTATCGTGAACTGTGCTTTTAAAAACCTTTGAACATCATTTTCACCTACCCCGTAGTTAAGCACTGAGAGGAATAACAATAGTAGGCTTGTGAATGAAATACGAGGTCCATCAACAAATGTGCTGTGCCGCATAAAAGACTGACAAGTCCCGTTTTTTTTTTTTTGTGAACGACATAGTATTGACACAGCGAAGTCTTCACTGCATAAGGATAGATGAAAAACAAAGGTCAAAGCTTGGGATAATGGCGGTATGGGATCGTCAGCACTCCAACACGCTGGGATGCTGCTAGGCTTTTGGAGAGGATCGGCTGGCCCTTTCAAGTGTCGAATGGGTTAAATACGTATTCATATGCTACTATTCAGAGGAAATCGGAAGCTGAACAGCACCTAGAAACGAGACTGTTCTCGACGAAGAATTGAATTTTTCCTTGAGTCTTGGAATACTCCCGTTCCCTCCTGTTCCCCCCCCCCNNNNCCCCCACCCCTTCTGCGTTTTGTTTCAGGTGATCATCCACTTTCACATATGGAGAAGGCTTAACCAACTCTTTTATATGTTTGCTTGTCGGCTGTCCACTTGTCCAAGAAATGCTTACTCCCAAGCTCTTACAATTAGAGTTCACATGGGTGGCTGGGAGTGGGCCAGGATTTGAAGAGTCAGATTTTGCTAGCAACAACTGGTTTGGTTGCCTTGTACGGAAAGTTAAGGGGAATCATTGGAGTCATATACCAAAACAACGAAAGTCTGTGATTAAACTTTGGAACATGAACGAGCTTCATTACATCTTGGTTATTCGGCTCAGGTATTCCGTCGGCCTGTGGGTCAAATTCATTACAGGAATGGGCAAATGGCTCGGTTTCGTATTGACTGTGATTGCTGGAAAATTCGGCAATCACTCTCGAGGAAGCTCCTATGCAGTACAGTACAACAGCAACGACCTTTATTACTAAAACTCTTCAATTTTACTTCCCGTACGGATAAAGTTTTCGAAGGAACTCATCGAAATGCGTTCGTGGTGTGTCAAGCCTGAAACATCACAATAAATGTCGGATTTCGCCAACTAACAGCCACCCAAAATAGATAGTGTACCTACTTATGCGTTCGTTTAGAATCAGGGAACGTGAATGTTACTGTGACCGGATTCTTGATGTACACAGTGGAGACGTCGATTGAAAAATAAATCATAGAAGAGTAACGTCCCGCGTGGAATCTTACAGCATACTGTAAAGGTAGAGTATGCATGCATGAATATAATATAATGTAATGCAGAATCCCGTTCATGAACACAACAAGTGACAGCGCCGCGTGCGGTCGCGAAACGGCTCAGTTGGTCGAAGCTTCTGCTCTAGCGAGCCAGCACAAGCCTAACTGCAAGTTAATCGATTTTCAACCGACTCATACAGAGTTAAATCTCAAGGGTATTTGGACTTGCCTAGCCCGCAAGTTTTCAATATTCCAAACAAAAGAGGGTACGGAAAGCTATCCCCCTGCCCTACCAACCTCTCGGAACTTATCGGTTGGGAGTTTTAAATACCTACTTATAACACCGTACCTTATGCCTGGTAATACCAGGAAGAGGAACGGCACATATATGTTCGACTGTAAACCTCGTCGTTGTTCGGTCTATCCAATACTGAAACGGTGAAATTTTTCTGAGGGCTGTTGCAATTAAATTACTTGGTTGACGTAAATCTTACCCTTCGAATATACTCGATGATTTTTTGCTTTCCTGATTCTGACGTGAACTTCCCAGAGGGCATCCATGTGAAAGGCTTGTCCTGCGAAGGGAAACGGGCAAATCGTCTGAAAAAGAATGTTCCGTTGCGGACAATTCATAAATGACTTTTTCCTATAATAACCAGAAAAGATGAATTTTTCGGATAGCGCAATCCTAGCTGGGCCTAATTTCTTAGTTACGATACCTACTTTCGTTGGTCCGATCAGTTGATAGGTAACTTACATTTACTATGTTAAGATGAAAGCTCCGATTTGTAGGTAGGCTGCCTTAAAGGCACTGTTAACGACTAAATGGTTTCGAAGATATGCACATGGTTAGAATTCTGAGCCCCCTCTGATAACATTTGTGCAGGAATTAGGTCGGAAAACGGCTGGATAGGGCACAATAAGGCCAGGAACAGTGGGGGACGCGATGCCTCCGCCCCTCGTTAGGCTGACTACGTGTTCAAATTGGTATTCACCACGTTCGCACTGGAGCGAAGCTGGTGAAAAATCGATACGCAGATTGGCAAATAGCCAGGAATGATCAGCTGGTCGACCGCCTCGTACAGGAGCTAGTATTCAACTGTTATTTCTATTTTATGTTTGTATTTCTATTGTTTTTTTTGTTATGAATTTTTTACGGTAGCATTCTTTAACTATTCTCGTAAATTTATTGAAGATCTTAACATATTTCGTGTAGATTATTGCATGCAAATGTTTTTTTATTTAAGAAACTCCGTTAAATTCGATGTGTTGTCTGTATTGCAGACACTGCGTCGCCTTCGTGCATTCTCGCTCGAACACTCCCTAACCGCCGTTTTCCAATGTGAAAGATGTCCAACCCCACTTTCTAGCACTTTTTTTGTCCCTTTGTAATACTTTTTGTTGCTCGTTTTTTTTTGCGCTTTTTCGTTGTTATCGCTTTATTCTGAAGTAGTTCTACCTATTACCGTCAAAAAAAGGGTACCCTTACTTTTTTGTTAACAGTGCCTTTAATTTACAGTAATGATTCCACAGGATGCGCTCCCTTTGGGACCATCTGGACAGACGATCTCAATAGTAATTAGCTTTATTTAGAGACTATTTATGGAGTTATGGCAAGCTGCCATCCGAAACAGACGCATTAGGGGCTGCTAGGCTGTTCCAGTTTCGAACGCCCATCAAAAGACGTGTCATATCGAATGTCGAAGGCAGCGATCAGGAAGTTGAGCACATGTACGTCAAGCAAAGATGTACGAAAAGCACCGGCTTTTTTTTGCATTCACAAAAATGTTCGTTGTACGGTCCCTGTTCTAGGCGGGTGCAAAACGCTCACAGCATTGAGCCCTTCAGTCCAAATGTCCCCTTTCTTTCCTTCAAGAGCAGCGCTGATTTTGAATTTGCATGAGAATCCCATTTATTCGTTCTTATCCTTCTTATTTTGAGCACAATCTAGGTATTTATACTCCGGCCACAAGACAGACGTAGGGTAGCAGGTGAAAGGGAGCACCTGCCCGTCTATAACTGACTGTAGGCAAAATGGTCTGAGTCTTTCAACCCCTGCGCCGGCTCGAGGAGAACAGCCCGTTCCCAATCAAGCTCCCCACTTCAAAAGCACATAACGCAGCTGCTAGCCATACTCCTTTTCCAATCACTATGAATACAGTCACAGTAATACCCATCAGGGTTTCCAACCACCTATAAGATTGGCTGCTTTCATAGTCCGCAGGCAGGCGCGCTGGCGCGCTGGCGCGCGCGCAGGCAGGCGCGCAGGCAGTGCTAGGGGGGAGGAGGGAGGCAGANTCTGCCTCCCTCCTCCCCCCTAGCACTGCCTGCGCGCCAGCGCGCCAGCGCGCCAGTGCGCCAGCGCGCCAGTGCGCCAGTGCGCCAGCGTGCCTGCCTGCGGACTATGAAAGCAGCCATTCTCAGACATTCATTTTTTGCGTTTTAGATTTTCAGAGATTTTGGATCAGATCAAATAAGTTCTGAGGGCGTACCTGTAGTATGCTACCGAACCGTCCCGTGATGGATGCTGAGAGGCTCCGAGCGTTGCAGTTGATCGAGTTCGACGTAAAGAAGCGGGTGAGTCACTTGAGTCTGGAGAATTCGACAAAATGCCGATGGATTCGTTGACAGAGCTCCGTAGACTGAATGGAGTGCGACCTATTGATGGAAAAACCAGCGCTTCATCGTTATCGACCAAAGTGTCCACCGAAGCCGAGCGACTCATTCCTCGATCGAAGCAACGGTAGCTTACCTCACTAAAACAAACTCTCATATTGATCATTTCCATTTTACGAAAATGGAAGACAGAAAAGATCGTCTTCGATGATTTGGGGAGGAGCGGATCGTAGTCATGCGAAAAAGGGGAAAGAACAATGTGGACGGTTGATGAGTGCTGAATGATCATATTTCAGAGGTTTATATTTTGAGTGGGCCGAACTGTCCTATGTTGAGCGCTCTCCTTCCCCTGCCATCTATCAACTTAAGAAGGGTGTGGGATTTTGTTCCCAAATAGCCTGTTCCTGTTCGCCTAATTCGCACAATCCGAGTCCGTGTCGCAGCGCGCAGTGCAAGGGTAGGATCCGAATGCTCAGTGCTTGATTACGGTACTTGTTGCTACACTACTGCCGGCGAGAGCCCGCGACCGGGAAACTCAGGAACGAGATCCGCCTCCCTGGTCAGAAATAATTGAAGGATTCCGAAAGCCAGTACACATGTTCCGTCATATTAGGATTCGTGAAGAAAACGGAATAACGCAGATTTCCTAGCTATTATAAAAAGTAGATTCGGGGGAACGAGGAAAAGTCGAGAACCCTAGATCAGTCAAGAGAGGGCAGCATTCATTAGTCAGTGATGTTCAGGGTACAGATCAAAGGGGTCACCCTGTTCATCGTCTATACAGATACCCCAAAATAGAAAAATCACTTAACCACTTGAGCGAGACTAAACTGTAGCTGTAATAAGTTCGCAGGACATTGCCAGACCAAGTTGAGAAGAGCGAACGAGGCTTACGAACAAAGCTGAGGAGAATGCGAAATTCAGAGCTAAGTTTGAAGTCGTTGGATGATCATACAGGTGGGAAGAAAGGACGTCAGAAGACCTCATATGAGGGATGAAGTCCTTAAGCATAAATCAATCCCGGAGGGATGTACCTCCACATTCTATTCAGAATCGTGGAAAGTGATGAATGTCTATGGACCTAGACAATAACAAATCTATGCACAAATCAGCACTTTTATCCTCCCAGACGAATCTGATACCAATTAGCGGATCCGAAGGAATGGAAGGATTGATTGGTCTGGGCGGAAATCAATCCGGTATCCGATTCCCGGACTATGCATATGTGACATGTGAAAAGGTTTCGAATGGGGGCCTTGATGAGTGGTATGAGCGGATTGAATGGGAAAATTTACGGATGAAGAAACGCCCACTGTGATAGATAAAGAAGATTCCGGAGCAAGAGAACGAAATGAAAATGGATGCGAAGAGAAAGACACCGTCTTGTTTGTATTTGACAAACAAATCCAATTCACCTTGATCGAGCTTCGGGGGCTTTTTTTGGTTGTCCTGAATTATTTGGATGTAGGCGATTCCGTTCAGCATTTTTGACGTCCTGATGAGTAGAGGACAAGATGAGTTCAGGCGAATCGGGAAGGAAAGTCTTCACTCACCTGCTCATAACGTTTAATAACTCGGCCATATAGATGAGCCAAGATAGATTTGGCCAAATTTCGACTTTCCCACTGCTCAAAATCCATGTAGGACAGGTGGGAGCAAGGGCGAAGGGGGTAACGGGCAAGATTTGGACGATGTTGGGAAAAGGAAATGCCGTTGAAGTCCATAGTAGTTCCAATAGGAAGTCGGCATCACCGAGCACAACCGCACCGTTCAAAACACCTCAAGTGTCCAGCGATCAGAGAAAATCAAGTCGAGCATAAGCGCTGCAGTCGTTGCTGTGGTAGCGCAACAAATGAGAGGCGTGGGCGTCTGATTGTAAAGTATTCCGGGGTGTTCTTCAACTGCCCATCTCCAATAGCGGTAATTGTAGCCCTGAGAGAGATTGAAAACGACAGGACACCTACGAGAACCCCGAAAATCTGTTTCCTTCGGTTGAATGGACCTACATGGGCATTCAAAATCGTGCAGTGAAAGGAAAGGTAGCCGTTAATTTGGGATAAAAGGGCGAAGGTTCTGTCGTCAAAGTAATCCCGTCTGGGATGAGCCCACGCACTCGATTTCCATTCGTGGCGAAGTTTTGAATGCGTGTATGACGTATGCAATGAATCGCTCTGGTCAGCCGATATACAACTTAGCGTTTTTGCATTCCCGGACGAGTCTGGCACCAGTTAGCAGTCCCGGAGGAGGGAAAGTTTGGTTAATTAAGGCGAGTACCGATCCGCGACCTGGACCTTGCCTCTATGAAAGTGTGCCGCTTGCTACCTAACCTGCCTAAATCCCACACCTGATTGACCAACAGAAAAACTTCTTAGGGAAAATAGGTGCGGCACTTGCTCGGGCTTCAGGAGGTATTCTATTACCTGATGTTGTACCTGGATGAGCGTTCTGACATCCTGGCTCTTCTCAGCAACCATTGACGCTCCACCTCTTCAAGGAAGCTTTCCTCACCCTCGTCGGTGGGCTCCCAATCATGGCGAAGCCTTTCAATGGCACAGGTCATTACGTCGTAGATATCCTTCCCGGGCAATTAAGTGTGTTGATTAATGATTTCGAGTTTAGGCAGGACGAAGACGAGCCTTTCAAACTGGGCAACGTTGATGAGCATGTTTGCGCCTTCAAGCTCCCATTCGTTGGCAATTAGGGGAAGTGTGGTAGGTTAGCATATATAGGTATCCGAATTTAGCCCACCTTTCCCCTCCCCGTTCCGTGCGCCTGCAGAGTATACTTATAGGTATGTTTTAGGCCCCTACCCCGAACATTTGAATCGCTCAGATGATAGGAGCTGTCTATGATATCTATATCAACCTTATCGGCTTATCCTCACCGCCACAATCCCTCCTATAAATATTTGCCTCTTCATCACTACCACACCATTCATCACCTACTCACCCACATGGGCCGTCCAAACGTCAATCTTCAACTAACCTCGATCATTAACGGAAAATATATTGTACGTTGTATAGTCCCCATCGTCTCTTCCCATGCTCTGCTTCAAACTGTTCATTAAGGCCTGCCGTAAACTCGGAGAAGGAGGATGTGGAGTGATTTACGAAGTGGCTCTCATAGCAGCACCTCATCGACGTTATGCTTGTAAGGTTCGTTTTCAAATGATTTACGAATCCTTGCCCAGAATTACGATTATTTTAAAGGCCGAAGATCAAGATGGCAGTCGAGAAGAGGAGATTTTGCGAATGGAAGAGAGGGTTATGCGGAAGATCAACGAAACTGCAACTTTGCACTGTCCGCGCTTTATCGAAAGTGGCAAGGTGTGGACTATTCTGAGAACGGACTACGGAACTCTCATGAAGTTTTTTGACCTCTGTATGGGAATTTGTCGCCTGAGTAGATTACCTACGACCAGCCTACATCAAGGCATTTACATGTATGCCAAACTCCTTTGCTCCTCCCTTGACTAGCGTTAATTCCGCACCATATGGTCTGTACCTATGGCTGAATGGTCGCTGTATGGTCCGCCCTTAGGCCGGAACCGAAACGAGTAAAGCCTACAAGAGTGCTTCGATCCCCACTTTGTCCATTTACGAAGCAGCCGACGCTGAAATGAGGAACGGTCTGTTCGGTTAAAGTTCGACCTGGTATTCGATCCACGAACAGAGCGCATGGAAGTGTCTCCTTTCGGGTTGGTGTTTTGTGTTCAACCATTGAATCAGGCAGTATAATTGGTCCGAACTTTTTGGCATTGATCAATCCTACTTGGGGATACGCCCATGCAATCGACTTGTATTCGAAAATGTAGTGGCTTCGATTGTGTACACGGTCGAGATCCCTGAATTGTGGTGGCCAGCGGATGTACAAATCATTCCTCCTACTCTCCTGGGCTTGTACGGTCCAGTAGTCGACTTTTAAGAATCAATGGGTTGATTGGTAGTTACCCGTACCATTGGTGTAGCAGTTGGAACTATCTATGCCTCAGTTTGATAATAGATGCTCAACAGAGATGCATCCGGGCGTTTCAGTACGACAACTACAACTTCATGGTCATGACACTTCTTGGACCTTCGATCAGTGACCTACGTAAGGTAATCCCTAGTCAGGTACGTTTATTCAACTATTTCATGAAAACAGACACGGAAGTACAATTACTGATGAAACGGGAGAACGAACCCAGAACAACCCCCAGTTGCTGGCGTTCCTTGTTGGAAGCCAAGGGTGGCCGATTCCCCTCTCACGGAGGAGAAATTCGTCTGCAATTCAATCTGGCAAAGTCAATATTGGTTATGGATCAAGGGATTCTCTTAGCATCCTCCTGTTTTCCCCAAACAACGAAACAGACATCCTTAGACGGAAGTTGTGTATAGCCTGGTAGGGATGTATGACCCCAGAGCAGTGGTTTGAGCAACATCGAGTTCCCTATGAGTTCCACTCTATCCCCATATCGAATTCTTCCAGAAATTCACCCTCTTCACAACGCTTGTGGTGGGAGTTCAAGCGGTCGACTCACTAAAGGAAGTTCATAATGCAGGGTTGGTTCCCTTTGACCTCTTCGAACTTTAAAAGCGTGTTCCTAGAGTTCAGTAAGCATTTGAGTTTTGACATCGTTCAGCTATGTCCATCGCGATGTGAAACCGTCAAATTATGCGATTGGAGAGCCTGGAACGTCAAAAGAGAAAGTGGTTTACATACTCGATTTCGGACTCGCCCGGTCATTCAGAGTAGGTCCTTCGTACGAAAGGGTGGATCATCACGATGGTATAAAATGTTTACAATTCAGAGAATACTGCCCGATGGTAAAGTGGTACTTCGGAATCCAAGGAAAACCGTGCAGTTCAGGTTAGTTTGCTAAATGCCAAACTGGCTTGGCCGTTCTGGGGTGAAGCTCTCTGGACTTTCAGTCACTCCTGTGATTCAGTAGTAAATTCAGACGAGGGCATAATGCTAAGCTTACAGAGGCACAACACGGTACTGCTCAATCAATGCGCATAGTCGAGAAGAACAAGGACGACAAGATGATTTGTGGAGTGTTTTTTATATGCTCGTCGAAATGCTCATCGGAAATTTACCATGGTGGGCTGGAATCGGTTGAAGCATTAAACCTGTCGCAGCCTTCCGTAGAGGTAGCTCAGCAAGTAGAGCCACTACCATGAAGATCCGCCTGGGACAGCGGTCCCCTTAGACCAGTGCGTAAATCTGGAGAGAGAGTGATGCCATGCTCACTGTGCCCCTCATTGATGGAAATGCGGAGCGACGCAAAGGGTATAGGTCCACTCAGCCCCTACTCCCATTCAATGAGATTACTATATCGGGTGGCGCCCAATCCACAAATCAGTAAGTTCCACTACGGTCCGACTATAAACGTCTTGACTGTCTCCTCGACCCCCTAACAGGAAAAAGAGCAAATGAAGCTCTCCATTCACTTCGTGAAAGCCAGTTTACATACGGACGCTACTATTCCAAAGAGAGAGCAGAGTGGTCACATCGTTTGGCTGTTTATGCCAACTTACTTCCTTTGCTTTGGGATCTTTCCTTCTCATGTATTCTATAGCCTTATAGGAAGAACATGACCGACCATGGTCCCACAGAACGAGAAAAGGTCCAGAAAGAAGGTGAACTACTTCAGCAATGTCCAAAGGAATTCGAACTGTATATCTCGCATTTGAAGCAGCTTAACTATGCCAGCACCCCAGGTTGGTGATAGCTGTGTCCGCAGTTCAACTTCTCTTAGTCTAGCTCTTTCTCCTAGTTGGGCGATGACTATTTCGGCAGCTTAGCTGATTTGTAGAGGGTGTCGACGTAGTATTACAAACGTTCCATCTCAGTGCAAACACATCTAGCAAGCCATTCGCCATCGGTGGCACCGCGGCCACCACTGACAACCAACTGCGTAATAATTCTCCTGTAGTTTGGCAAACCTTCAAAATAATCACAATGAGAATAAGGACGAAGGATATGGCGTTGATCGCTCACGTTTCGGGGGATGCGCCCGTGCATTAGACTTTGGTACGGATTCGTAGTGGTGGTGTGAATACCTATGTGGTCTATACAATGATTTTCTGTAGCAGCCAATGTACACTCTGGTGCTTTTATTCCTCAAAATAATTAACCGACGCTAAAGGGATGAAAGTCCTGGCTGATCTGGGCGAGAATCGATCTGCGATACGCACTCGTGACCATACCCTGTGATAGCGCACCACTTGCCACCACACAGCAACCCTCCCCTCACTCCTTGCAATTACGATACAGTACAATGATCAGTTACAAGCTCCTAAACAGAATAGTATTTGAAGCCCACAAGTGGTATATCTAGTAATGGATGTTCCTTGCAGATTATGAACTTCTGCGTAACGTGCTGTTTCAAGCATTTAAAAAGAACCATTTCACATTAACTATGAAACTGGACTGGGAAAAAACTGGGGAACATGGCAGCATTTATAGCTGGAACAATAGCGACTTGTATGTTTCCCATTTCTATAGTGCCCGCAAAAACATGAATCTTATGCTGACCATTTCCAGGCCAAGGGTTATCTCCAGAGATTCGACAAACGTGACACTAGAACAGATACTAATGATGCCTGGGGAACTTGATGAAATCAACGAAGACGTGAGTATTTGAATTGCTCTAAATATTAGGGAATAAGGATATAAGATAAAAGTCTTTGGCACTAACAAGTCCTATCTCTGGTATGCGCCCTGCATTCGACTGCCATTCATAATCGTAGAGGGGGTTTAAAGCCATTTTTGGCCTGTACAATGAATTGTGATGGCAAGTCGATGTACAAGTCAGTGTTTTTGTTTTCCCACAAGAGACTGATACCAATTTAACCGACCCCGGGAAGCTCGATGGTCCAGGGCGGGTATCGACTCGGGATTGAACCCCCTATCTGTGTGTGTGTATAGTAGTGAGTGCTCTTTGCCACTACACCACCTCTGCTGCTGAACAGTACAGTAGATAAGCTGAATTTAGGCGGTTCGTTTCAGGACGCAATGAAATCCGTGGATTGTGAAGTATACGCGACAAATTCTTCCCAGGACGACACTTTGGACGAAATCAACAGTACAGACAAGGATAAACCCAAAGAAGTTGAAGTACCATCAAAGGTTACTTTTGCTCCTTCGATAATGTTCGTACTACACCCTTTTGAAAGGATGAAAGATAAAGTCTTTGGGCGCTAATCAATCCCATCTGAGGGATGCGCCCACGCATTCGACTTCTATTCAAAATAGTAACGACCATTGAATGGGTACGTGGCCCATACAATGGCTCNTGCGGTGGTCAGTTAATGTGCAAGTCAGTGCTTTCAACCTTGCAGGCGGATCTAGTACAATCAGCCGACCCAAAGATAGAAGGCGGGCCTGAGAGGATAGATCCGGGATTCGAACTAGTGGCCATGCTTGTAGCATAGCACCCCTCTTGTCATTGCACCACCTCTACCCTGTTGAGTAACGAAATCAATTTGTGTTTCTACTATGCCTAACAACCAACCATGTCCTGACGTTACACGTTACTTCTACTGGAAGCGCTCTACTCATATTCTGCGTTGTATCCCTACCTAAGCAAATGCGCTGAGATTGGGAGGCTTTGGAATTTTCCTGTTCAGTGCTAACCCTAGTTCTCCTCCGAAATGCGTTTCCGAGGTACTTCTCGTATCTGCTAGTGACCATCCGATTCCTTCCATCGCAGCTCTGGCCTAAGGACGTACCCTCTTTTCGTGTCTTCGTCTGTCGTCTGACTCCTGATTTCTTCCTCAAAGGGAAGTGACCGCTGGTCTTCCTCCATCAAGGGTGCTGACTTAGCATCACCAATCTCACTCCGTAGTTCGTCGTACGTCCCTAGTTGGCGAGGGAGAATGGGCCGTTAGTTAGCCCATTGTATGGAATCGGCGATAGACAGCATGTTCGAGGCATATAAGTAGGCCACAAGGGATATAGGATGCTAGTATAGGGCAAAATTCACGGGCAGCAGAAGGATAGTTACACTACGGGGGGACTTTCAGCATAGCCACTTCACTCTACCCACATAGGCAAGTTGGCACTCAGGATTCAACGCTTCGGGTCGATATTGTACAGTAACTAACTCCACCTCCTACTTCTTACGTCATAGGTTTCAACAATATATTCACCATTAGTAACATCACTAGGGTCTGGCTTCTGCTTGGTCGAAGTTAGAAAGATTCTGTATATTCAGCCGATCTCTGCCGCAATGGAGAGCCCCGTAAGCAATGTAGCCAATACTGCCAAAAAGGTATGTTGTTTTCTTTCTGAATGGGTTGAATAGTGGATAGGATGAATGAGCTGAGCAGTGTGGACGAGTCTTCCTAGCAGAAATCCGTCCTCCTGAAGAAGATTCCAAGCCATCTGGCTGCTCCCATCTTCGGAAGGAGCATGATGTGAACGTGATCAAGCGGCCAGACCTAACTGGTACACATAGTTGAAGGCCGTCGTTGTTATAGCGGACCTGATCTTTTCGTATTCATTCAGATGTCAGATTTCTGAGGAGGGAAGGACTGGTCTCCAAGGGGGAAACTGCTCACGTCGTTCTGGCTCGATACTTTGAAGCAATCAACTTGGAATTTTCACAAGCATCTTGGAATATTTCAGCCACCCGCACCGAAATATCAAAGTGGGAAAGAGTACAAGTACAAAGCAAAGTATGATCCATCAGCGAAAAAGAAATCACCTGCTAATGAAAAACCCAAAACAAAATCAAAAGAATCGGCGAAGCAGAAACGTCGCTATGAAAAAGCTCAGGTTTGTGTAGGAATCACTTCGATTTTTTTGAAATAACAGCTTTTGCTCAAACACTTTTACGTAAGTGGAAGTAAGATCTTCGGTGCATTCAAAGAAAAAATTCTGAAGGGAATTGAACTCGGGAGGTGATATGTATTAAAATCTAAAATAAACAATGGTAATCAAGTGGTTAAAGGATGCGCCATGCACTCGAACGTATAAGGGGTTAAAATTGCCTTTAAATTTGACTTTGGTCTATGCAACGACTCGAAAGAACTGCCCAATTTCTTTGAACGAGGATATATGTGTACTATGAAGCATAAAGTCTCTGGCATCGAGGCCTACGCATTCAACCCCCGTTTAGGATCGGGTTGAATGTGTACATGGGTTCATGGATTACTCAACTTGCAACCAATACATAAGTCGGCACCGTTACCCTCCCAGACGAGCCTGGTACCAATTAACTAACCCCGTAGGGCGGAAGGCCTGGTGAGTGTCGGTCAGGTATTCTCCGGATCTTAAGCTCGTGATAGTGCGCCACTGTCACTAAATCATTGCTTTTACTCTCTAGACAACTATGGTGTAGATTAGCCAATCCGTAGGAATAATTAGCCTAAATCACTTGGGCGGAATGGGCAGGTCCCACTTTGAAGACCGAATGACAGTGGGTGGAAAATATAGGGTACCCATTATTCAATACAACATTTTGCGTTACAGGAAGCCAGAATGAAAGCAAAGGGAGGGTACGCAAAGAAGGAGCCGTCAAGCCCTGATAACGTTCATAAAGCTCACATCAAGGTAAGGAAAGAAGGAAAATCCTGAAAGGAAATCCAGAGTTGTGAGAAATAGATGGGAAAGTAGAGCTCCTAAGGGCAAAGAGAACAAGTGAATCATCTACAAGTTGTCAATAGGGAAGTACTGAGGGCTTAGAGAGTTGGGCTAAATAACACTGGGTGTACGATAACTTATACTGATTAGTCTTACCGGTCAGAAGCCAACTCGTGCGATTCATTTTACTAGCATTTCGTGAAAAAAAAACCTCGTAACAGTTCTATGGTTACTAAGGTTCAATCGGAGGCCTCTGTGCGGTGATCAACGCCTTTTTTGAGATACGCTCAGCACTCGTCTTCCATTCCTAGTCGCAGTGGAGTATTGAATGCCTATGTGGCCTATACACTGACTTGCAATGTCCAGCCAATATTAATTCGGTACTTTTACCTCCAAGACGAGTCTGGCTCCATTTAACCGAACCCAGAGGGATGTAAGGCACGATTAGTCTAGGCGGGTACTGATTCGGGACTCGATCTTAAAACCGTGCATGCGTAATGCATGACTTGCCACCATGCCACCTTCAAGCTCTAGTAGCTTGTCTGAAAAACATACAACTTTATCCCAAAGCAGTCCGGCAGTGCAAAAGTGGTTTTTGTTTTTCAGGTGTGAAGATAAGAAAGGCAGCCAATTAATAAGCAATAAATGAAACATCCGAACTATATACGTTGATGTAAATAAAGGATATGCCTGGTGCCTGTCTCTCCATATTTTCACAAAACCACATAACACATAAATCTCGAGGCGAACTTTCCCTGACGTTGAATCGTCTGTTGCCGACATATTTTTCAAAGATCATTAGAAAGCTATGTAGTCTTTTAGTCGGTTATCTTCAACAGGACATTACCTTCCACACGAAAGACATCATCTTCAATTAAAAAAGCCAGTAAAAAAAATGTGTGGATAGACCAAGTTATCTTAGCTCCGCTCTCAAGCGCTCCAAATTTTCGGCCTTGAAATGACCAAAAAATTAATGGTACACATAATGCTTAGAAAATTTCATAAATAAAGTTTATTTTATCACTTATATACAGAAAACATGAACACTTTCAAGTGTTTCACGGGTACTTTCGTGGACGACCGCGAGGGCGGCGATTTACGTTGGATTCCTGTAAATAAGTAGCCAGTGAGTAAGTTGATCGCGAAAATTATTCATTTCGAATCATACAACTTTATCTGTATAGAAGCTTATCTGAAGAATCTAAAGATAAAATTTAGCAATCGGCAAATTTAGGACCCTTATAAACAAAGCTTCTCCCACAGTAACAATTGAGTTTCATATAAACCTTCCAATCAAGCTACTAGTTTTAATGTAAAATTCGCAAAGATCAGCTTGATCGAGAGTCGCCTTCAGGGTCTAGTCAAGCTATACCGAGATTAAGATAAAGTTGACCATGGTGGTCCGCTTTCAGGGTGTTAGTAAACAGCAAGTTGGGCTAGCATAGCTCTAAACTTACATCTGCTTTGGAAGAGTGTTTTTGTATAAACCGCCTGGCTTCCTCTTCGGCAGAAGGATTACTTTGAACGCTGAGCGTTTGATACGCTGTCCTGTAAGCTACCGTTTAGTAGCGTTCAAGGAAAAAAAGCTGTAAGCTGCTCATCGGAATCACAATTTCACACGAGAAACCCACCGTCGAACTCCTCGCAACAAATCACGATCATATCGTGGCACCTTGTTTTTGTACAATACGTCTCGTAGTAAATCGCCTATAGGAGGGCCATCTGAAGTATCATCACTTTTACCAGTGGTAACAGTAGAAATATCATTTAGAAAATCACATAAACAGAGAAAACTTACCTTCTTGCTCTCTGCTTGGATGAATGAATCTTGAAGGCCCTTCTCCTAATGTACACTCTCTTTCCTGTTCTCTCTGCGTACTCACGGGATGATGTTGCTGTTGCATAGAAGGGTGGTTGTCCGCGTCCTTTTCGTAAGTCCCAACATTGGGAACCACTTTCCGCACCTGACCCATTAAAATAAAATAATTGTACAGGAAAAGTAAGAGTTTAATCCGAAATTAATGCGCTAGATCCCAACTGCTGTGCTCAGTCTAGAGTTATCAGACTTCAGGATTTTATGATATGCTATGAAGAGCAGTATGGGATGTTGTCAGAAAGCACGGATGTAGGACCCACAGATCATACGCGTGTAGAGGAAGGTCAGTTCCCTTGTAACTACAACTTGACAAATTTTAAGGCGGAAATCATTGGAGGTGAAAATCTAACGATATGTTCCGATGATGCTCATTACCCAACACCGCAAAAGAAGGAAAATCATTATCAGAGCCTTTCTGCAGGGCTCAACATCTAACCTCAGAAGCAGAATACGCGTTGAAGCTGGGTAAGGTGGGGGGTAAAGTACCAACCCCGATAGCGGACACTGTCACATGCTAGATGAAGCATGAAACTCTCTTGACGAAAAGATAATTCTTTACCTTCCCAAGTATTGTACGCTTCACGACGACAATCTGCCCATTGTCACCTCTTCGCACCAAGACCTTCTGTCGCAGGGGAAGACTTTCTTCTGAACTGAATGGAGAAACGGTTTGGAACTTTTCTTTCGCAACTACAATCGTTTATGATGGGTGTCAGATAAAAACTCACTCGGACTTCACTTCAGGAACAGCACTGAACGATTTTTCTCCCGCGACAACTACCTATAAATTCAAAGAAAGAAAAGATACTACAAAATTAAAGTTAAAGTTAAATAAGATATTACAATATTACAAAAAAATTGAATGCGCTCGGTCCTTTCCTGCTTTGGAAGAGGAAGCCGTTTATAATACCACTAAGTCTCACCTGTGATAAGGTTGTAGGAGACGAGCTACAGTGACGATCAGGAAGGTCANCCTTCAAGCTCTAGTAGCTTGTCTGAAAAACATACAACTTTATCCCAAAGCAGTCCGGCAGTGCAAAAGTGGTTTTTGTTTTTCAGGTGTGAAGANTCACCTCTTCGCACCAAGACCTTCTGTCGCAGGGGAAGACTTTCTTCTGAACTGAATGGAGAAACGGTTTGGAACTTTTCTTTCGCAACTACAATCGTTTATGATGGGTGTCAGATAAAAACTCACTCGGACTTCACTTCAGGAACAGCACTGAACGATTTTTCTCCCGCGACAACTACCTATAAATTCAAAGAAAGAAAAGATACTACAAAATTAAAGTTAAAGTTAAATAAGATATTACAATATTACAAAAAAATTGAATGCGCTCGGTCCTTTCCTGCTTTGGAAGAGGAAGCCGTTTATAATACCACTAAGTCTCACCTGTGATAAGGTTGTAGGAGACGAGCTACAGTGACGATCAGGAAGGTCAGTCGATATAGGATCTTCATCTATAAAAATATACATTAAGATTTCAATTATTTTCGAGGGCGCCTCCCACAAGTTGAATCAATCATAAGATGGGCATGACAAAAACGGCAACTCATAGCCACAGGCTGCATAGCTATGACTCTCAAGTCAAAGAAGCTAAAGAAGTGGAGAATCATACAGCCCGCGGGGCATGGAGCCTCGAGTCAGGACGGATTCAGTCCACACGTACACAAGAGGAAAACTTTCTTCATTATGGAAGTTCTTAAGAGAAGAAAACAATAAAAAAGAACAGAGAATCCCCGTTGAACTAGGGAGATTGGAACCGTACTGCTTAAGTAAAAGTAATATGAAGGCTTAGTAAAGTGATTAACTTATTATATGATATTATTACCTTGTAAAGCAGAAACGTTTGCTTCCGAGACTTCATCTGCCATGGATGACGATGGAGCACACTCTGGATCAGCCATGACGTCATCAAGAATATGCATCAACTTTCCAAGATAGTGATTTACGGTGTGAACACTGCGGGTGTATTGCATGCGTTCCTTTAGCATCTAAACGATAGCTACTTCTCGGTCAGATCGATATCAGTTCAGTCAACGGCACATAAAATAAACGGCTCTAACTGTTAGAACGCGTTGCCAAGGCACTACTTCGGAGCATGAGTTATAGACCAAGAAGTCGACTCACATCACAGGTCATTTCAAACTGTAGCACGGAATTGTAGGTTTCTGCGTCAGCGAAATTCTCTCGCCTCGTAATATATGACGGTACATAGCATTCCTGAAATGTCACCATTTCCCCAAAATGAATTAGAAAAAATCGTTGCAGAATGAATTAAAAAATATAATAAAAGTACAGTGGATGCTTCAAGGCTGTAATCTAGTACCTTCTCTCGGCTTTGATATTTCTCTGCAGTTCTGTCGTTAGCAATCTTTTGAACAACCTAAACAAATGGAATCGTTTAAAAGAATTGACACTCTTGCGAAATATTTCCTATACATTAGTGAAGTTATAAATAATCATCTGGTCGCAAACAGGGTCTTTGTGAAAAGACTTCGAGAAGGTCAGAACGCAAGCTCTTCCTATTTATAAAAGCAGCAGATCAAGTCATGTGTGAGAGGAAAAGAGTCAAAAACAAGACATAATAGAAGGACAGGTTTCTCAAAAATCACGAATTCAAAAAGTCTCGAAATTGGTCATTTTGATGAGGATCACTTATCAAATAACTGGATAATCGCTACGATAAAGTAGAGGGAAGACCAGGATCAGGAGGGTTTTTCGTTCAGGAGTAAATCAGAGGAAGATCTGAGAAAAGTGACCTTTTGACGTTGCTGTGAGCGCGAGTTATCGAAGACGCCCTCGGCATTTTCTACCCATTCATTGCCATCGACTCGATCATATTCGCCACGGTTATCATAATCTGAACAAAATCTTATACGAACAGCCATAAATGAGTGCTCAGCAAGCAAGAAACACAAAAACTGATGCAAATAGAAGTATACAAAAAAGGACATACATTTTCCCTGTGGAGAATGACAGCGCGGGATGTTGTCAATTTTCCTCATCTTCAAGGATGGATTCACACCTAAAACGAAACGGCCGACTTGACGTTAGCTGCAGTTTGATTTGAAAAAGTTTCGCAAAAATGACCCACAAAATGAAGGTGGTTGATTCCTCCGTTTGATTCTTTGCAGGCCTTTGTCTTGAATTAGCTGTTGTGTCCGTTCACGCCTTGCTGCTAGTTCGCGCATGAACACCTAATGACAAAAATCGTAACCAGTAACGCTACTTGGAAGAAACTGTCACCTCTGGGGTGAAGTAATCGACAGGTTTGCAAGTAGGAACCGCTTCTGTTGGATCGTCTGCAAAATATTTAAAAAAAAGGGAAAAAGGGGAAGACACTGCAGATGTTAATGTTGAAGGAATGGAATCAACGCTCGAACGAACAAACAAATACTAACCACTGTGGAAGTAGTGATCCAGGCAATAGTCGACCACCACTTCGTTAAGCTCGCCTTGGATGATCAGCTAGAATTTTCTTTTCAAAAATATCGGAAAAAGTACGATGAAGACTAAAGCAAGAAGAAAACGTTGTTGTGATTACAGAAACAATAAACCGCCTGTAGTGCAACCGAACAAAAAAGAAAACGATTTTATATACATCGAAATTCTAGTAATATAAAGTTAATCTAGATGTGAAGGCATATAACTGATACCCCTATGACGATTGGTAACGGTCACAAATCGAAAAGCTCAAGGATGGCAAAGTAGGAGCTAGGAGTTGGCCGCATAAATCTATTCAAGATAGAAAAACGTTGTTTGAAAACCAAAATAATCTCCGCGCAGAAAAGTTGCTTTCTGAAATTTGAAAACGAGGTTTTCTCCTGTGTTGATCTGTATTGTCGGTATGGAAATGAGACCTTCCACTAATTCCTTACCGAGGAAGAATGAAAATACTGGTCCACTGAAAAGAGTTTTTGTCTACCGTGAAAAAAATATTAAAAGGGTACTAAGAAGTGGCACTAACGACGCGCGACTAATGAGACAGCATCACTAAATCTTGCGAGAGGTGATCTTTTCCTTCGGGCGTAACCTCGTAGGTAAGTGAAATGGAGGTAGAAAGGATATTCCTATACAGTAGAGAGTGAGTTTGTATCAAATGAACAAAACCGTGACGGAAACAGAAGTACTTGTTCTCACCCGCCAATCAAGAACTCGAATGAATGCTGTGCAATGCATGTCCGGAACGCTAGCACGATTATGGTTTTTATAGTGTCGAATATCGTTCTGGCAGAGATAGTACATATGTTCGTCATGGAGACACAACTTCTTCAATCGGTATCTGCTATGATACTGTAGTTCACGAACCCATTGCTAAAAATCGTGTGCTTCCATTTAGAAATTGACTCTGATCTATCATAAACAGAAATTCAAACTGGACAGCAGTCTACCTCAAACAAGCCAGGATCAGCAAAAGTGAACCTGCTTATAACAGCTGCTTTCCTATTGTGATCAAAAAACATATGTTCAAGTAACTGATCTTGTGAGGGAACTTCAGGAGTGCTGCCAAATATAGCGTGACAGCTCATACACATAGTCTGCAAATGAACTACAAAAAATGAGTTTAGCTTAGAACGAACCTATTTTCTGACAATATCTATCGAATAACTTGAGAAACTACCACTTCTCAAATCTTTATGCCTGAAACTGTTCAACGAAATAGAAGTGTAAACTGCTAAAAACGGCGTATATCCAAAAAACCTTACAGGAGGGAAAGGTTTTGTACGGCGAAACTTCACCGCACTATTTCCGGCAGCAACACCGAAGGAATCATAGTACATAGCCTGAGAATCTGTCTCGCGTGCTTCACCCGCAAATCTTTTACGATATACCTGAACAAAGCTGTCTAGGATGAAGGTAGAGACATGGAAGCACTACTGAATATGAATAGTTATTACTGAGAAAAAACCAAGAAAACAAAAAGATATTCCGACCATTATTTGAGAAGTATTTGCAAATTAGATTCTTGAGTATTGAGAATTCAAAAATGGGGCACTACAAAATGTTTGACCTGTTGGTGTTCGCTCAATGAGCACCTAGACCTAATGAGACACATAGGACCTATCTCTAAATATTATTCAGCTAGATGTCCCTGATTTCAATTCTAACCTGCCTAAAAGAAAAGTTTTTTTTTTGTAGAGAGGCGATGGGTGCTCATAGTGGCGCCTGTGATGATGTGATACAGCGTTAAGTCTGCTTCAAGTGTTCTTCCTGCGCGTGCTCCTTATAACCGTAACCTAAAGGATAAATGCTGGCTAATGAGTTAAGCTATTTCCATAGCAATCGCAAAAGCTCTAGAATATTATCGCTTATGAACGCACAGTACAATAGTGAGACGGCTAGCTTGTGTCATAAACTAGGGGTTCGCCATAACAGTGCCCCTCATTGCCAAGGGTGATGAACCTTCAAAATGATTGATAAAAAAAGTCGATTTTAACAATCTACTATGGGAGAATCGTTAAGGAATCTCAAAAAAGGAAATGTGCAGTCCTTTTATAAGCAAGACAGGACATGGAAACGATTANTGAAAACCCACCAAATTGGCTCGGTGATCTTCCAGATTAGATCGGAGCGTTTCGAACGAAGGAAAGAGGTGCACAATATCCGTATGTTCATTCATTACCTTATCCACTGAAAACAAAAATGCAGCGGACTGAAAGATCACGAAAGACTTCGAAGGTTACTCACGATAAGCATGATAAAGGGCGTCAAGGGGTAGATCGGTGAACTCTGCCATCAATCTGAGATCGTAAACAGTTATTCGCAATCTGATCTAAAACATACATGTAAGACAGCTTTACATCTAACTCTTGAGCAAAAACCGACCTGTACATCATCAGGATGACAAGAACTACAGTGCGGTTCGCGCACACGTAATTCTGTTATATTAGGAGACGTTCGAATGGCGCCTTTACATGATGGATTTGCACAGCGCCAAAGGTTCCAATTTGCAGGCTTTACCTGCATGACAGTGGATTTTACAAGATTTATACAACACTAACCTTTACAAAACTTTGCAACAATGTCACTCACAAATCCATTTATATTGTAAAGATGTCCTTCAAAAGCCAGTTGTTTTCGGCATCTTTTGGAAAAACATAGAAACATTTTAGAGCCGTTCGTAAAGACAATGGTTCGGCTTAGTAGATCTGGCAAGTTCATACACAATTCGTCAGTTCCTTCCACAGAGTTATCAGCATAGTAAATTTGCCGCCCTAAAAGAAAAATTAATTGGTAACGAGGCTGCTCTCAGCACTCCTCAAAAAAGGATGCTGATCGAAATGGTGAAGCCAGCCTGAGAAGAGCCAATAGAGTAAGCCAAGCTTTAGATTCTTCAGATTGAACGGTCAGTAATTCAGCATAAGCCTAGATAGCATGAAAATGTTACGGTTATGCATCTGGACTGCCGCAAAAAAANCACGTTCTCATAGCATTCTGTCACATTTTCAAGCCCTGTTCTCATGAAACTAGCGGTACATATGAAGAAAAGCGATGAAAGGAATTCATATCTGAAATATACTAGAAATTTCACCTGGTTCGCGCATCCCAGTAGAAATCACGACTTCATTCGGATGCAGAAGAACATTTTGCCCAATGTCATGGTCATCAACAACACCATCAACCTCGATGAATTCTTCTACTTCCTCTTCATGGACTGCCTGGAACAGAAAGAAATCGAAGTTAATGAATAGAATGACCCCGATAAGAGAGAAAAGGCGACATTTATTGTTCAACAATGAACCTATCTAGTACTTCGACTTCAGTGGCTTGAATGGAGCAATTCCTTAATACATCCGCGATCTTTTGAAAAAGTGATACAACTCTTTTACAATATTCTGAGGCTCCGAGTTTTTAAAAAATATCGGCATCATTCTCGCAACAGAAGTTATAAAGCTATAAATACCCCAGACTAAAGTAATTCAAAAGACACTGTCTTACAATGAAAAGATTGTAAGGCTTGAGATGTCATGTTATGATCGTTCTGCGATCGACCACAACCCAAAGGTGATGTGCTCACCGTAGCAATGAACTCCTGTCGTCCCATAAGTAACTAATTCCAAGAGAAGGCCGGAGTGGCCGGCCTATACGCTCAGTATCTATGTAGAATGAACCCGATTCCAAGCAATGTATGACCAATACCTCAGGAGCAATGGTCTCTTCATGCTCCACTTGATGAATCCAATCTCGCTCCATATCTTCGGTGACATTCTCATTATCTGCTATACCGTGAGATGATCGATCTTCACTCATTACATCTATCTGCAATAGATAAAGACTTTTTAATGCGGGTAGCTATGTGGGACATGTGCTAGGAGTAGCCGGTACCTGGTCCGGCAGAGTCCGGAAAAGAATTTGGCATTTTCAGAGATTTATGGACCCCCACCCTAAAGGTTCCCCCACTCTCCTGGCCCATGAATAGCCTGTTGTATAGCCATCTGGAGTTGCTATCTGATAGCAAAGGAACAAGCTACACTTGATTACTCCTAGAATGGAAGTAAATAATTGCTATAACTTAACCCCACCACCTGAGACATCACTTCCCCTCATAGCGCACAAATTCCAAAATTGATAATTCTCAATAAAAAAAAACTTTTGTATAGCTGCTCTTTTCAAATCTGGATATGTGAGTGACGTCTTATTAGACACGTCATCTGTATTCACAGAAAGAACGCAGGCCACGTCTAAAAGTAAGCCTGCTTTGGTCGCTGGAATTTTCAGTATTTATAAATGCTATTTTAGATGATTTTGAGAATTTAAGAATCTGAAGAATTTAAGAATCTGAGTCGCTCTTTGCACGAACTGATTCAAAACTGATAGATGCGATTCAGCTCTTGAAGCATAATTTTCTCTGAAAACTTGTCGAAACATTTCGGGATCCTGATTAATCCATGCTCTTGAGATCAGGACGGGCCCAGATTCTCTTCAGGAACTAGCCTTGGAATATTGCTTGTCAGTCAGAGGATAGCCGGCAAGGGTTTATTTCTGTACGGATCTGAATTCGTACCGTAATCCATCCCTGTTTCCATACCCTACACCTAATACATGTTATTTTACGACTGCCATTAACGTGCTAGACTAACTAACGGTTGAGTTAGGAATACGCAATAATCTGCGCGCTTGTCACCTGTACTGCTTCTAGGAATTCAGTTTCTAGGAAGTTTTCCCCAACACTGCAATCGAATTTGAAATCGCTGGGAAAATGGAGTTTTATTCAACAGATTGAAGGCGTTTTTAGAAGGATGGCCGCTTTTTAACTTTTTATTTACTTTTTCAGTTCCCAATAACCGTGGCAGTCAACCTGATGTATGAGCTTGGAAATATTAGGCAGGACTCGTTTCTGAGGTCGATAAATTTGCCGATCACCCACGCCTTCCTTTAATGTCCGCACAACTCATGAACAATACTCATTTGCTCATCTATTACTGTTCTTTGAAAACATTTTTAGAATTACGGTCAACTTTGTTTACCCACATTGTTATTGTTTCCTTCGCTGCACAAGTAAATATAATGTCGCTTAAGAAAATTCTCCTTATCTTGGTAAAATGATGTTCCCACTTTAATGAAATTTCTGATGATATCTAAAATAAAATTTCCGCAGTAGAGGTGAAGTGCAAAACTTCCGACCACGGCAGGATTCGAACCTGCAATCTTCTGCTCCGTAGGCAGACGCGTTATCCATTGCGCCACGCGGCCATGTGTCATGACGTGCTTTCTGCATAGAGGGGCCTGATTTGATCCTAGACCATCCTTGTATTGTACATTTTTATATTTTGTTACACATTGCACATGTTGATTTTTCGATGGAGGTAGTGTAGTGTGTTGTCACTACATTACCTCCATTAAAAAAATCTTGATGGAGAGCACATCGAACACTTTTCAAGCCCTTTCCGGGGGACTTGAGAAAGGCTTTCGAGCCTAAGTACTCGTCATTACTTTAGAGATGCTGAAAATTAGTTTTTCCGAGACATTTCCATCCTTTTTTATACCACTGGATGGTTCATTATACCACTAGATGGTTCAGAAAAACTTTGAAATCTCCAGTGCGTGTATATGCAACAGACTAACTAGTTTTCGCGGAAATCGTTTTATGGCTTCGGAAAGCTACCTTGTCAGCGGCTCTATGAAGTGGCTAAGGCAGAGGGTAGAACCTGATATGCAACACTGCTAGAGTTTCCAATCACCAGTGGGATTTCGCCAAAATGACCACCGTTTAGGGAACGGTTTGCTGGTACCAGGTTCGCCTCACTGGTCGCTTGGGAGGGGTCGCTTAAATTCGGACTTCTTCCTCGATTGCTTTCGCCTTGATTTAGGGTGTCATTGCGGTTTTTATTGATAGCCATCCATGGGGCTTATCTCAAACGACATCAAAAGGTGCCTTCCGATCCAATTCTTGCTTTAGCATGAGCCAAGCTATAGGCTGGTCTTCAATTCCCATTGCAGCCAGCCACAGTTCTATCAAATCGTGTCAATACGTCAGTGGAAACCGTTGCGATTGATCTGCCTAATTGGATTTCTTCCAAAGTTCACTTTCTATTTCTTCGCCCCGCCGGATTCCCTGATAACCGGTCATGATACACGTACTGAATTAGTCATCTACACCCGTCGGTCACCTTAGAAACCTGTCCTGATCGGTCATCGATCGGCGTAAGCGGCCGATCGCTACTCGAACATCCCTCATCTGGGCCATCCAACATCACTTTCAATCTACCTTCCCGTTGTTTTCTTCTTCGATTCAGTGCTCGAATATTTGTTGTGATTGGCAACTTTTGTGGATGAGACTACGATTTCAGATTGACCACAGAATTGTTGTTCGTAGGAAATGAGTAAGGAAAATGGCAACAGTCTGTATCCCGATATTCATGAAGGCAAATCCCAATCATCATCTTCTAAAAAGTTCATGGATCATGGACCTGAGGATCTAGCTCTGGTTGTGAAGGCGACCGACTTTGCTGCTAGACGGCATCGTAATCAGAAGCGTAAAGATCTTACTGGAACACCGTACATAAATCATCCTATTGGTGAGATTTTCTTAAAATGATGTCTTTAAACCTCTAGATTGCTTTGCTGGTTGTACCCTATTGAAAAAAAAGTGAAGTCTCTTTTGTTTGGATCAAAGGGTTGGTGGTGTAGTGGCAAAAGGCACTATCTCACACGCATGGTCACGGGCTCGAATGGTGGATCGATATCCTTTTAGACCAACCAAGCGTTCCATCCCTTCAGGGTCGGCTGATTAGTTCCAGACTGGTCTGGCAGTGGAAATGCACCGACCTGTACATCGGCTGACCACCTCCAGTCATTGTGTAGGTCACATACCCATCCATTGCACCACTACAATTCTGAATGGAACTCGAATGCGGGGTACATCCCTCAAGCGGGATTGGTGACTATCAAAAGACGTGGACTGTAACTGGAATCAAGTAAATCCAGAAGACCGGTTTTAAGACGGCGTACTTGTAGTGTCTGGAGAACTGAAACCATGTGTATTAGTGGAAGCCTCTGACATCTGAGGAATTAAGAGAAAGTGGCGTATTGATACGTAAATAGCGAAATTACATGAGACAGGTCTCGCTTTTTACGGTTTGCACATATCCTGGACCGGCTCCTGTATTGCCTATACGGGGGATATCGCTGGAATGGCGAAAGGCGGTCGATCATACGGGCAGGTCGGCCCCATTTGCTAGCAGCATCCGGGAGGTTGACACATTGACTCCTACATAATCTGGTCAGCGCAAGTCTTGTAAGAGACAATGCTTTAAAGGCACGGTTCACAATAAAAAAGGTTACTGAGTTCTTCGTTCAGGAATACTCAGCGCCCCCCCCCCCCCCC